GAGCCCGGCCCCAGCGCGGCTGCCGGGGCCTCAGCGTTCACCAGCGCAGCCTTCGGGGAGGTTTAACTGCAGCCCTACCAAAACCAGCCCCGGAAAAACGACTTCGCCTCCCTTTTCCTTTTTTTTTTTTTTTTTTTCCCCTCTTTGCCAAATACCTGTTAGTGGGGTTGGGCACCTTTCCCTCGGCTACTTCATCAGCCTGTGCCACAAACAGCAAAATTCTGAGCGGCTTTCAGCGCTTCTTCAGTAGCTTGTGATCTATTCCACACTGAGACCCTCATTCACCTCCTTGCAGAGCCTGGACGGTACCAGCATCCCCAACGTGCTCTCGTACACCACAAAGCACCAGGGCGTTTTTTGAAGCCATTGTGCCACCGTAACCCAGAAGCCTCAGTGGTGCTTATGGGTATCACCATAAAAATCAATGAAATTTAAATCCAGATATAATCAAGTCTATTCTAAAAGTGTTAGTGGAGCAGACTTTGTAAATTGCCTTTAGAAGGCGTTGCACGCGCTCCATTTCTCTGTATTTGTTTTAAAGTACAAATACGAGGCAAGATCCCCGTTTCCCACACATTGTCAGATGCCTCTCTAGATTTTCATTACTGCCATGTAATACTTTATTATTATTATTATGACATCTCTATTAAGCCTTTTACACTTCCCTAGACAGTAATTCCTAGCAGTGATCTCTTTCCAGTTTTTTGAATACTGAAGTTAGCGGCATTTGTCAAATCAACCTTTTGCAGCCTACCTTGTTCCACCTGTTATTTCCAAGTGCGCTGGCAGAGATTCCATAATTGTATCAAAATGCCTGGGGAAAAAAAAAAAAAGAAGAAATTACCACCATCTGTTGATTTTATTCATGTAATTTTCCTTAAGTATTTATTCAGGGTTGCAACACTGGCCAGGTCTTTCCTGGCTCCTAATCCCAGATGTTTCTTCGCTGTAGGATCACAGCCGAGCCTTGCCCCAGCTCACTCACTAGGCTGCTTCCACACACCATTTGCACTCGTGTTGTTCCGAATGCCTTTTCCGAGGCAATTATAGCCAGGGAGTTTCAGCAAGGTCCTGGGATTTGGGAATTCAGTGCATTCCAATGCTTTGCTGCTAACATTAGAAAATCAGTTTAGGACTTGGTTCAATTAAGAGTCTGGTGCTGTGGAATGGAGACCCAATTAACCTGAATGAAAACTTGGCATCAGGAAACACTGAGTGCACGGACATACTGATGCTCCCGCTCCATCCCCCTGAGTTTAGGCATCGCAGTGAGTCACCCCTACTGCCTTGGGATCCTTGGAGCCTCCTCCATAGCCTCCTTTTGAAAAATTAAGCAGATTTAACTAAATTCTTTTAAAATATCTGGGAGGAGGAGTGCCCAGCTGTGCAGAGATAAAATCAGTGATGGAAGACTTTACCTGGGAAGTGAGAAAGCTGGGCTTGATTCCCTCTGCAACTGAAAATGCTGTTCAGGCTCCCGGGGAAAAGCGTGGACCAGCTGGCCACTGGCACGGCCGAGGGCTCGCTGTGCTCCCAAACAAACGGTGTATCAAAGGGAGGTGCCTTCCAGGGAGGAAGAAAAGAAGAGAACCACTGCACACATGCAGCAAGAGGAGCACAACTGCCTGCCTGACCGGCTACACATGCCCTCGGACGCAGACCAAAGGGAAATTCCCTGGGCCATAGGGACAAAAGCCCCAGCATCCCCTTGTCCCCCAGCTGCAGAGACGTAGCGTCTTCTCTCCCCTTTCTGTTGTCTGAGAGCACGGGTCTTTGCTCAGTGTGCAGACCTGAAGGACAAAGGCTGCCAGCTTAAAAAGATCCAATTTACAATCCAGCAAAGCAAACTCAGCATGGGGTTTTTTATGTGTGTTTCAGTGTTGTGGGTTTGCTCTGTGAATTTTATTATGTGTTTATCTCAACTAACGTGCTCAGATTAATATTACTTGATCTACGTTTCGGCATTACTCTTTCACAAGCAAAAATCATTTGACTAAATGCTTTTCGAAAGAAAATTAATTAACCTATACCAAGATACAAATACAGCAAAGATGTAAATCCAAGTAGTCTAGGATTAAGTAGCCATTAAATAAGACCCAAAAAAAGCTGCTCTTCACCAATAAAAGACAAGTTTAAACACCAACTAATTACCAGTTTGGAGACACAAGCCCTATAAATAAATATATATAAATAAAATATATACATATGTAAATGCATGCAAGTGCATATATATATATGAGAATCCTAGTAGGGTAATGGACTGATAGACTGGGTAATTCCAATGATTGAAGACTTGTTTATGAAAAGCAATGTTGCAGACACTTGCGTGCCAAAGCTGGAGTATTTTACTTGGGACCTCAATACGTACCTATTAGAAATTTTAAGGCTTGTTGACACAAACCAATCCATATCACTTAGATTACGGATATTGGCAGTACATTTAAATATCTGACAAGTTTTTCCATCTCCCCTCTCATTTATATTTGTATTTATGAAAGAAAAGTAGTATGTCAGAATAGTAATCATATTGCTCTGTCATAGCTATCAGGTCAAATGCTCTCTCCAGCTTTTTCATACATCACATGGCAATGCTGTCAATGTTATCTATTTTAAGCAAGGCTCCCTTTGCCATGCTGATAATGCTGTGTGTCTTCAAAACACACTTGAGACCTTTTGTTTCCACCTAGGCCATTAAAAACTAATTGTCTGGGCTCTTCACATGCTATTATATTCTGTATTATATGATGTCTGCGAAATCTGGAACAATGCATTTCAAATTGTCTGTCGGGTTTTAACCTCCTTCTTCAATAGGTTTCATGTAAATAAATAGCATCGTGAGTACAACTATTATTGAAACAGAACTACAAGCTGCTTACATTTTAAAATTGTTTTGAAACTGAGCTTAAAACAAAACAAAAAACCCCCACCAAACCCACTCACATTCTGTCAACCCTTCTCTCCACTTCGTTCTCTCTATTTGTTTGCCTCCAGCCCTCAACCTCAACCACTGTTTAGGAAGAACCTAAGGTAACTACAATATGTAATAAAGCCCATTGCTAAAGCAGCAGCATATATGCTTAAATGGCTTTTTGCAAAGCTCATGCTGTGAACACTGGCCTTTTTTTGGTTGGTTGGTTTTTTTCAAAGATTACCAACGTTGCTTAACTCTACAGCCATGAATTTGGTGAACTGTTTGAGATGCAGTAAGAATAGAAAATACAACCACCTGAATTTAAATTGAACTTCTGTAATTTAAAAGTAGAATTCTCTATGTATGCTTTTATTAGTGTAGAAGTAAGAATGAAAAGCAGCGAGTGCCCTCCCTCCTCCTGCCGTCTCCCCGTGCCACCAGTCAGGGTTCGCCTCTGCGGGTGCTGGAAGCAGCTCTTGCTGAAAACACCTGAGCTGAGGCAGAAGTCTGTATAAATGGGCCACTGGTTGAAACAGCACTTCAGGAACTACTAAAAAAGCACACTTAAGAGCAGAGAGGGGGAGGAGAGCCAGTAACTCACATCCTAGAGTATTCAGTGATTTGGAGGTTTGGGTCCCCAGTTATCCATGATCACTGATCTTTCACCCCTTCTCTCTAATCTTCATCAGGCCTTTGAGACACCAAATGCCAGTGAAAAACAAAAGAACAACAAAACAAGGGATGGAGGAAAAAAACCCCACCACACTTTGAGGCTATTGTGAGGCAAATGTGCTCCCAAGTTAAGATGTTTGCATGGCATGGTTCATAGTAGGACAGAAATAGTGTATCCTGGGGATTTAAGAGTCTTTGGAAATGGGTAACACCATAAAAACGTTTGCCAACTGGAAGTACTTCTAGGGTTGGCTGGAAAACAAGAATTTTGTTTTGTAATTTGTTTTGCTCCACATCAGGACAAAACTAAGACCTATTGAAATTTTGTGCAAACAAAACAAAACCCATAGATGTCCCAGAATGGCCAGCAGGTCAGTAGTTACCACTTACCTTGGTCATCTACATCCCAGGTCAGTGTCCTAACTACGGAGCTGTCTTGCAGTCTGTCTCTCACTCTGTTCATCCAGGAATGCTGCGAAATCTTCCAAAAATTGCCATCAGAATGATACATTCCTGCCAAAACATTATATTGTTGACCATGGCAATTAGCAAAAGAGTCAAAAAATTCCCAAACTGTTCCAAGAATCATTTTACAATTCTTTAGTCACACCCCTGCCCCCGCCAATGCTGCTTTCTACAGCCCTGAAATCTATTAAACAGTAGCCCATAAATCTATTGAAAAGTTCATATTAATCTGAGTAGGTAGTTTTTTGATGAGGAAGGTAATAATGGAACTTCCCAGAACATTTTAGCATCATTCTGACATAAGAAGTGTCCAAAGAGTGAGCATTAGTGTAATTAAAAAGTTAATTCTCTAATGGGACTGCCCCCTCCACCCCTTACCTCTGTTCTGGGGATGACTGGCAGTGTCCTCCTCTCTCGCCATCCCAGCGCTGACGGTGCCACCTCCTCCTCCTCCTCGCAATACAGCCGGTGCCGAAACAGCAGTCGCTGCGGGGGAGACGGCGGCAGAGCCTGAGCGGGACAAAGCTGCCAACTCAGGGGCTTGGTCCCAGCTCCTCTTTGTTGCCTTCTGCAGCACCGAGTGTGAAGCGTCAGCTAAGCCCAAGCCAGCTTTTTAGCTTGTCCTCTGCTTCGTGCCTGACCTAACACAGTGAGGAATTGACCTTCCATCCATTGTCACCAGTGAAAAGTACACGCAGAGAGACCGCTGCTCAGAGGAGGACAGTTGCTAGAGATGTTCCCGAAATGGTGTCCTCACCAGTCGTATCTATACTGGTGTGGACAGGAACACACCGTTTCAGTCTTCCCATGGCTTCGGAACCCTAACCCTGGGCTTTGGATCAGGTCAGGGGTGCTGGGCATCAGGGCTTATTCAGTGTATTTTCTGTGGGGAGCTCCTGGTGGCCCATTTTGTAACCATCTCCCTGGGGGAGCAAGATGAGAGGAGATTCCCCAGGAAGAGCAAAAGGAAAACTGAACCATCCGCTGGTAACTGCTGGAAGTGGCCAAAGGAACTGAGTAGAAGTAAAGGAAAGGCCCAGTGCCCTTCCCCTAAAGGCTTCCATTTTAATTCAAGATCCTTATAAAACAGAGCAGAAGACACTAAGAATGTTGAATTCTGTGAAGTTTCTCAGGCATTTTTTAAAAAGGTGCTTGCAGAGAAAATACAGTTTATCTCAATTCAGTGAGGAATTAGAAACAATACTTTTTTTTTTTTTTTTTACTGTTAGCAATGTTCTTTCTCCTAATGACGATGGGTAGTCACGTACTTTAAATTCACACAGAATCTCATTACAAGAGACTTGACAGAGTAAATTTGTCACAGTTTTCAGCTTGTTTTCAATGTAAGTTGAAATACAATCATTTGAACTCTAGCCACAGTATTGATCGATTGCTATACAGTTTAGGCATTACATTGTCTAAAGCATACGTTCAGTGCTTGAACTCCTGTCAGAAAACACTATTGCTTGTGTTCCACGTTTCTTGAACAGCTCAAGTGTATGACAAATATTAAGCTATTTTTAACTCCATGCATTAAAGATTGCAAGATCCACATACAGTAAATAATCAAACAAGGTTAAATGGGTAGACAAAAGGCATTCTTTTTCCCTCCTTATTTTGCAACTTCTTTGTACACTGAGTTATGGTAAGCTTTTCTTTGCAAGCAGTTCTGCTATTCTTATAAACTGCTCTTTGGGCCTTACCATTTCCTCCTTTTCAGCACCTATGTTAAAGATATGTTCTCTTTATGGGAAGTAGAGAATGTAATATGATAGCTATTTTTGCAAGTTTTTAGAATAAAATTCCTTGCTAGCATCCAACAGTTCACTATCCCCCCCACCACCTTTGGTAGGTGTTGCATTTTAAGGCTCCAGGTTTTCCAGGAGAACATTCCAAGAATGAAAATAGATCTACACCATGAATCTGAAATATTTATGATATTTGAGGTCAGAGCTTTTTGATCGTGAAAAATGGAAAAGACTGCTGCAGAGACCTATGGGGGAAGAGATTGGTATGATACAGAGTCCTTAAATCTAGTTACCAACAGCCATCAAGCTTCAGTCAAACGTGTCGCAATCTTTTAAGATCGAGAGAGCAAGCTGACTGCAGGTTTTCAAGTCTTTAACAAAAAAATCCCTGGCCTAGCTAAGTCTGATTTCCTTCTGGCACAGCTCTCCACAGCTGGTGCACAGCTTTCCTCTGTCCCGAAAGGAAAAAAGAGCAGTTCGCGTTCACGGAGATGAGAGGAAGGTGGGCACGGCCAGAGGCACTGCCCTCAAGGACAAGTTGTCCATCCCTCCGTGGGGACAACTCCCGGGACAAGCGAGGGAGGAGCAGACGCAGAGTTGGGAGTTTGGGAACAAGGAGCAGATGGGGCTCCAGCACACCTGTGGCCAGCCCAGAGAAAGGACGGACTGGGCCAGGAAGGGGCTGCGGAGGGGAGCGGGGCAGGATGGAGGCTGACCACCCACCCCAGCACTCAATCCACCCAAGTGTCACAGCCCTCGGCTGCCACACGCCTGTTTCCCAGTGAAAACGCCAGAGCGGGGAAGGAGCAGGCGATGCTTCAAGCAGCGCACTTCACTGAGGCCAGGAGCGGCCAGGGCGGCACGGGACCGAGCCCGGGGTCCAGCCCTGACCTCGTGCTTCCAGCAGCGGCAAAGCTCCCCGGTGCTCAGCCCACAGCCTCTCCAGGGCCCGGCGGGAGCTCAGCCCTCCGGGACATCACCCCAGCTTATTTAAGTCAGTAGCCCAACACCTGGCAAGCCCACGCGGGCTGGCCACTGTGGGATGAACAAGCAGAGCGCTCAACAAGACTTCCCAGTGCTGCAGCCCCACCTGCATAATCGTTGCCATTGAGAACACCTGCAACACGCGCCCCATTTCTGACAATGGCAATGAATCTCCCTGGGTTGTGTAGACAAACACCCAGACCGAAGGCACTTGGCACAGCAAGCCCAACCAGCGGAGGTCCCATGCCCCGGTGAGTTATCACAGCACGTTTAAAAGCTCTCGCTGCAGTTAAGCGATCAGAAAAACGTGGAAACCAGGTAGAAACGTCAATTAACTCCCAGGGTTAGATCTTGATTTGTCACTTCTACACTGACAAGAGATGAAAATTGCAGCCTTACTCCACTAAGGCACTCTGATATCTTTAAATCAGCAGAAAGAAGCAACCATAAAGTGCAGCATTAATTTAGGAACTGACCTGAAAGCAGCGCAGCACTGTAACCAGTGCACTCTTTGCCTCATCCTCCCCTTCCTAAAGTACTGCCTCACCACAGTTCATCAGGTCAGAGTGTGCTGGCTCCTTCTACATGCTGTGAAAGTCATTAAAAAAAAAAAAAATTTAAAAAAATTTAAAGTTCTCCAAGATGCCTACAGGAAGAAGAAAAATACGGGTGTTGAAGCTGAACACAGCATCAGCTTTTCACTTTTTGAAAGGAACAGATTTTAGCATAGTAACAAAGACAGAGTTGCTAAAACTGATGCCAGTATCTGCATGTTGATTTTAGGAGTTCGGGGCTTCTGTGACAGTGAAGCCCTCAGTCATTGCACTGGAAAAGGTGGTCAGCGTTTTGGTATGGACTGCAGTCAGAAAAACAAATTGTTGATGTTAGGTAGTTTTTAAAATCCAGCTCACATCATCCGCAAATCAGCTGCTACATCCCTCATGCAGTTCACGAAGATGAAAAACCCCAGGACAAAACCCTCAGCACGCTTTGAAGCGTGCACTGAAGCCCCACCAACAGGCGACGGCCCGGCAGGGAGGAAGATGGAGCAGCTTTTTCGGTCAGCGGCCGCTGCGGGATGCTTCCCCCTCTCCGTCCAGGGGCACCGCTCGTCCCGCACCCCGCAGCGAGCGCTCGGTGGTGTCCCCTCCGGCAGAGCAGCGGAGAGGACCTCCACCTGCCTTCCCTTGGCAGGGGGAAAGCACAGCCTGTGGGGGCCGCGCAGCACTGTGTACCCCGTCACGGATATAAGGTAGGAACGTTTTGGTCAAGAACAAGCAGAGATATTTATTAGATCTGTAAGTATAAAGAGAGTCCTGAGAAGCTACACCAGACTGGAGGACAGGACGTGTACACCAGCTCTTGTGCTGCTCTGCCAGGGCTACACCCCCAGGTTTACACATGTTGCTGGGACAAATGCCACTATGCACAGAGCAACACACAGCAACAAATGTGGTGGAAAGGGGGACACCTTTTTTTTTTTTTAAAAAAAAACAACAACAACAAACAAACAAAACAAAAACCAAAAACCAACCAACAACTCTGTCTCCCAAGTCTGACAGCTGGCAGGCACTTTGGTGTATCGTGTTATAGGCCACCATCCCCAAGAGGACCATGTTCCTGGACCTCTAAGCAAGCAGTCTGGCTGGTACAGAACAGGTTGACCCAGTGAGCAGATGTCCCAAACCCCTTGGAAGATCCCTTTTGCAGACATCACACAGCTCTCCACCACACAGGATCTGGAGGTAGCGAGACAAGTCCATACCCAGTGAGAAACCGCACTTTCCACATAGAAGGTCCCAGCTTCGCCTCCACAAGTACCAGAAGTCCCTCTTGCAGTCTCTCTTCTACCGTGACAGGCCGAGACTGACGTCAACCATGTACAGCTGTGCTTTGCTTTTCCTGGCATGCTTCGGCTTGTGTCTTGGCACGGTTTCTTGGTTCAGGCACTAGAACTGTGGTGGTTTTTTTCCTTAAACTGGGGATAAAGCAAATGTACTATTCCCAGGTGAGAGCATCTGTCACAGTACATCATTAATTCTACATTTGATAAAATGCTTACTTTTCCCACACAAATCTTAGCTCTAAAATGCGAAAATGTATTCTGTGTTTTAGAAAGATTTAACTTCTCTCTATATAAATGGAACAGCACCGGTAACATCTTTGTCTCCCTTCTCCTACGCCAACCACTATGCCAAGGCTGATCTTTTTTGCACAGCAGACACCTTGCCCTGCAGGGAAGAGAATTCTCCTTGTCCCTCCTTACCAAAATAGTTTAATCCAGGTAAATAAAAAAATTCTGTAAGCCTTGATATGGATTTTTCATGGAAAATTCCAGCACAGAAGGCCCACAAGGAAAGTTACAGACAAGTGGGAGGAAGCCTTTAGTGCCTTCACTACAGCAACACTAACTTGAGTTGCTGGCCTCGGGCTGCTTTAGGCAGCTGTCCCCAGGACACCTGTCAAAGTGCAACATATTCCTAACCAATAATAAACAAGCCTTCTGCATATGAAAAAGGGAAATCCAAACAAAAAGCAACCCCCCTCCCCCAAATCTAAAGTAACTGGTTTTTGCCTAGCCTTCCTCCTGTAACTGGCAGGTGGTCATACCTATCAACAGGATATCTGAATCAGACAGTGCTACTCATGCGCTGAGGAGTCATTTTATTTATTTTTTACATGCAGGGCCTCCTCTTACTAGGTGTCTGATATATGGTCAGGCACTGTTCGAATGACAACACCCCAGATCCACATTGGCTGTGTACAGTGCAAATCCGCCAGACACATGAATAATTCAACTGCAACTATGGAACTGCTTGTGCCCTCTCCATAGTAATAAATGCAGCGACACCCTTAATGCAGCAGATTATATATAAGCATTCCAAATCTCTTTAGAAGATTAGATTTTATGGGGGTACTAGAGGAACACTGATTAATAAACATGCTGGAAAAATAGCATAGGAGGTAGGGGTGTTATCTTCACATACATCACTTGGAAACTCTCCCCCACTGCCCAAGCCTTGATATCTTGAAGGGAAAAGCAGCAACAAATTTTCTCCTGTGACTGTCCAGACACTTGAAAATGAGGTTAAATAACACAGACCACAGACAGTCCTTCACTGGCTATCACTGAGTTTTTCCTTCTCTGCTCCCAGGTGCACCCCCTCTAGCTCCCAAGAGGACTGTTCAGAACACTGCTATTTCTGCTATTTTTGAAAGCATGGACCCTGACTACACTCAGTAGCAACTACACATTAGAAAAGCACAGTGCTGCATGACTCAGGGATAAGTCAAGGGATAAGAAATTGCTAAGAAATTATTTCTCATTATTATCTTCCACTCAAATTTCTTGATTCAAGTTTGCCTAATTAAAAAAAAAAGTTAACATTTCAAATAGTTCAGTCAAAGCCTGGACTAAAAATACTTCATCAGCAGGGCATGAATGTGAATTTTGTTTAAAATAATCCCTGGATGTTTTGATATGCAAGAGGAAGCTACTAGCAGCAGCACCAATGAAAATGACCTTGTCTAGCACATTGGTGAGTGCCCTGGAGTCCTAGCATTGGACAGACTTTTTTACCCTGCCAGTAGCTTGCTTGGATAATCTTCTTTACCTAACATGGGATAAAGAGGATATTACTGGGGTGTTTTTATGGTTTGTGGTTTTATCCTTTAGTTGGTTATCCCTGCTTTATAGACAGGGAGAGCCAAGAGTCCAATTTTAATTCATACTAAATTTCCTCAATCAAGTCTGTATCCAAACTCGGAAGAGGCCAGTGGTTCCCAGAGCCCGGCCCTGGAAGAGCCCCTGGAGAACTGCGCGCTTCCTTCCCGCAGGCCCTGCATCCTGCGGCACCCAACTAGTCCTAGCACAGCTAACAGACTGGTACCCAACACTGCGGTTAGAAAATTCAGTTCTTCAGAGACAGCAGAGTAAAGCCCTATAGAGTACATGGAGCTGTTTCCAACCTAAAGTTGTGTCGTTCTTCTACGTACACAGTACTTTTCAGAAGATGCTACAGTGCAAAGAAGAGATCAAGTATTTAACGTGACCATCTTCCCTAATATCCAGTAAGATGCCGTGACTCCGTAGGTCAGCGTTTGAGAAAGGCACCGCAAATTCAGCCAACACGGCCAGAATTGTTATTAATCACCAGCATGACAGATTGTCTCTCTCCTCCAACACTTGTACTGGCAAATGCTGGAGATGTGAAAACTCAAAGTGAAAAACCTAACCAGCCACTTTAAACTCACATTGCACACTGAACTTTCACCTCTGGCTCTGTCCCTGTCTATCTGTAGAGCTACCTCCCCTCTCGCTCTCCACTGTCCAGATGTCCCCGGCTGTCCTCATCTCTGAGCACTGCAGCAGCCTGGGACCTCTGCAAGCAGGTTGCCTCACTTTCCATTTGTTTTAAATACTGATGCCTGTTCCATCATATAAATACATGTGAAAGAAATATGGATGTGTGTGCACCAGGCACCTAGGACTAAAGAGCTTCAGGCAATACTCTATATCAGAAAATTATCACTAACAGCCACTCATTTTGCAGTTGTAACTGTCACTAGTTACTTCCATTCATACGGCATCTTCAGTCCAACAGACTGATTCACTTGAATCATTGCTGAAATACTGTCCCTCCTGGGCTGCAGTTATTTAACAGCCCAGCATGCATCACATACACAAACCAGTTTAAAGCAAACCTGAATGCATTCAGGCAACTGAGCCTTTGACTTCCTATTAAAAACTAACAATAAAAACTAATCAGATCCCACTTTTCCTATGTTTTTTTGCAGCACTGGATCTGCTCAGATTCTCATCAAGTATAATTAAGAGACCTAGCAACTGGTATCCATTCAGTCTGCTCTGCAGAGCTACTGTACCATGCAGTACCTACCCTGCAAACTTGGCTGTTATTTCTACACTAGAAATATAGAAAAAGAAAGGCATGCCACGTGGCTGGAGTAGGATGAGGAAGACTGGGTCTGAGAAGTAAAAAATTACAGAGAAACAGGAGAGCAGAATCTGGCAGACTTAAAGGACAGAAGAGAACCTCAGAGAAATTTTTTAACCCAGAGAGGAAACATGTCCGAATAACTAATTACTATCCAGGTCCTTAGATTACCTGGAGGATTTCAATCCCATGAATAAAGGAGTTCTTTTCCAAGGATGAAAGGGCACTGTAACTTCCTAATCACTCTTACACTTGACATAACAACTAAGATGAGAGTATCAAGAGGTACAGGCAGAGAAAACAGTTCTCTGGGTACAAAGCTGAATTCTTCCCCATAAGGCTAGGGGATAACATACCTCCTTCTGCAAGACATGCTCTAGGAGGTTTGCACGGGCATGACTGATGTCACGTCCAAGGAGAATACACCAGTTCCCTGCTGTACTATTTTAGGATCCAGTTCAGTACAGGAAAAACACACCCAGACAAACAACTGTTAACAGCCTCAGTACCTCGGTGTTCCACCCAGTATTGACCTGGACCAACTCTCTTCACCTGTGAGCACACGACTGGAGATACCCACTGCTGCATTAGTATACCTTTGTTACTAATAGGCAGTAAGAGAACTAAAACACTCTTTTGTTTGACTTGAAAACATTCTATTTAATTTATACAAATAACTACTAAATAGAAAAAGTAGATTAAAACAAAATAGTTATTCTTCTGGCAGAGTTTAAATGCATATTATATAGCTTAGAAGAAATAAAATGCATTTTCCCCACAGCATTCATGACCTAAAATTCTAGTTAGTTCCTCCATTGCTTTCCTTTTCTAGATCGGTAAGATACTAGACACAATGTCATGTGGGTAATGGCTATATATATGTTCCGTATTTGAACTGAAAATATGTTACAGACCACACACCTACAAATGTGAAGCACTTAAAATGTGACTATCGAGTTGTAATATGGTAATACAGAAAACAATTTATGTTTCAGGTTATATTGTGTTACAAAAACATCTGTGTAAGAAATCATGAAAGAGGCCACATAAAAATAAGCTTTAACTTTATGCACTTATTTTACAGTTTAAAAAACTGGCAAGTGCACTAGTAATAAATAATTTGCAAGTTTTGTATAAACGAGAAATTCCTAATGTTCAGCATTATTGTAAACATCAGTACACATGTAAAACGCAGCTAAAATCTGACAGTTACATTTTCAGTTTACCAAATTCATTTCCTATTATTCAGGCATAGATCAATGTAGTATACAGCCAATCATATTTTTGGCAAGTCATGTCATTAAAATTAACAGTGACAGTGCAAGTAAGGAATGCAAAGAATTCCTAGTGCAATAAAGAAGAGAAGCACAGGCAATATTGCTGATTAAAATTTACCACTTCCATGTGTTCACCCTGGGAGTGATTAGGAGAATTAAAAAAAAAAAAAAGGAAAAAAGAAAAAAGCTGTTCAAAGCCATTATTTAATGCCCTGATCTTGTCTTAGGATTTCTCTGTCTTCCTTCAGGCCACTACCTTTGCAACAGTACATCCAGCGTGAGTCCTTATAGCTTGACCATTTGTGAAATGCCCATTGTAGTCACTGAGCAAAGTCCATATGGTTCCGATGTCTCCCACACAGATGGCTTGGTAAGAACTTCTGCCTCTATAAGTAGCCACATGGGGACCAATCGTATAAACTGTCTGGCCAGACTACTTCTGAAGCAGACAAATGCCTTCCTATCAGGAGAGCACCACAAGAAGAAGGTCAACAGTCAGCTTTCAGTTTATCTAAGGAATTATCAATTTTGGTCAAAGTCTTTTTGATTCGCAGGGCTGTTAGTCTCGCTGATGGATTTTGATACCAGCATTCTTTCATCAACTTGGCAAGAGATGTTAATGTCTGGGAAAAGAATAAAAAACAGAAAACACGCACGTAAGTACACAAATCACAAGGCAAGAAAGCGCTAGATTGGCTTAAGCACTAACACAGTAAGGTATTATTGCCTTCTTAGTTTTCAGAGTCTACAGAGAGTTTACTGCTATCTATCAAATATACAGCTTTCAAATGTTGGAAAAAAACCCAAGTTTGATAACTTGGTTAAACCAAGAGAGTAACTAGACAATGGGCTGACTGGAGCGACAAGCTAGCATAATTTTAAACAATGGAGTTTTCTTTTCTTCCTAATTAAGAAAACACAACAAAATCTCTTTTCAATGAAACTGATTTCCACAAGATCAATGAAGGAAGCCAGAGAAGGTACAGATTTTCTGCCTGTGATTTCAACTGTAAATGGCTGGGATTCACAGCTGGCTGGTGCAGCAGCACAAGTCATGGCTCTACAGCTGAAACCTTATAGATGGGACCTCACGTCCCTGCTGGCCCTAGCCAGCCATACAGATTCAAACCGACCTCCACAGCTTTAGTAATAAGGAACAAAACAGCTGGTCAATCTGGAGAGTCCAGACTGATTCTGAAGAAGAAAAATAAACTTCAGCACTAGCCTTTCAAAAAGAACAACAGTCCCTTATCCTGTAGTCAGGAGAGACACCAAAATACTGTTCTAAATCTGCATGCTTATAAGCCACAGAAAGTCCTACTCAGGCTACCTTCCCCTTAAAGAAATTTCCGCTTGGAGAGAGACCAACATAGGAAGAGCAGCTTTAAAATAGTTATTGTTAAATCATGCTACTAGAAAGCTAATCTGTGAATAGCTCGGACTTGACAGTTTTAAGTTTGCTCATTGCATTTCCTTCCTGCTCCAACATAAAGGTCCACACCAGCATGCTTCTGAAATCTGTACAGCTAATGCTCCTGACAAGTAGCATTGAGATCATTTCAATTTCAAGTGATAACTGAAAGTAACTTTCATAACTTTGTTTCAAAAGAAGAAAGGTCAGCTTGTATCTTCTGCAGAGCACCCACAGGCACACCCACTTACAGGGTCTGAGAACCATCTGTTGGGAATGTTCGGCCTTTGCTGATCTACACAGACCACTTTTCTCATGTCTTCAAAACTGGGATCGTTTGGAACCAAGTCATAAAATGGTGGTTTATAGTCTTCCACAATACCTGGTGAGACACAAACAAGAGAGGCATTATTTAATGACTGTGTCAGTGCAACAGCATTTCTGCACAGAAAGAGAGAACGCATGACCTAGCCATCTACGAAACACAAAAATCTTTTAAGAGTTAACACCACAGTGTCAAGCAGCTGTTAAACAACAGAATAGCACTATCATACAAACAGCTTTTTCTACCCAAAATGTTAATTGATTGGCTCATATTACAATTCCACAAAGTAAGAACTATATCCATTTTGCAGATGCTTGAGCTGAAATGACGAGAAATAAATTCACTTGGCAAAAGGCCATCTTTTATAATGCAGGGAGGTTTACTGACTACCACAAAACTGGGATTTCTGCTAGCAAATGTAAAAAATTTAACGTCTGCATTGTGTTTTTTTAATAGGCTTACCACACACTTTGCATGGTTTTACGAGTCCTGAAAGAGTCCAATAAGCATGTCAGCATCTACAGACCCTCATGCTGGTGCTTCAAATACTTTTATTTCTTGTTATTAAAATAGTAGAATACCTAGGGTAACTGGCACTGCATGCCATCACAAAGCTAAACACCTGAGAGCCTGTGGCACCCAGTGTCTGAATGCATTTTCTAGGATTCTGCATTGAAAAATGATTTTATGTGTGTGCTCTCACAACTTGTCATCCAGCTAACATAAAACTGGCAGGCTAAAAAGCCTTTTGCCTACTAAGGCATGCAATACGGCACTACTGTTTCATCAGTGGATTAAGCCCACAAATGATCTATAAGGAGCTCAACTTTCTTAGACACTTTAAAGCCAATTTAAAAACTGGTGTTCAAAGACAGTAATTTGGGTCAGCAGCTTGGAAAAACACTGAGGGAATGAGGCCCTCTAGGTACAGTAGAAACATGGGCAGAACAATCTTAAAACTGCTTTTTAGCAGACTGGCAGCTCTCCCATAGTCAGACGTACATGAAATCCAGGAGAATTTCTGTTGCTCTGGATATACTGAAGTTGAAAAGAGGTTCTCAAACTTTGCTATGATGATTGAGTTTTAGTTTTCTTGTTCGTTGGAGATAAAGATCAAAATCCCACAGATAATTTAAAAAAACCCAAAAATCTCTAAATCCCTATCTGTGGTGACCAGTTGAAAAGGGAAATGGTCTTCAGGAAATTACAACTCCCTTAGAAAACAGTGGGACAGTTCAAAGATCCGGCTACCCAAGCAGGTTACCATAACAAAGTAACCAGCAGACTGCAGAGTTTGCCCTATGGTATTCTGACATGGATGCATGCAGAAGGACAGACTATATTTGATGCTGCATAAATAAGCATCACCCACCCTCCTCCTGCGAGCAATTCATAATTGCATATACCAAACACCACCTCCAAGGCTGAACTCTTGTCTTTACACTCCTCCTGCTTCCTCCCAGAACACAGAATAAAGTTTATTGTGAGAACTCAAGAATACAAAAAACCCTCTTGTATATCCACGTTGTCTATACTTCCACCTCAGATAAAGCAGTGGCTTTATACGAGTCAAACGCAGAACTTCAGAGCTATGTCATATAGCTCTGAAAATGTTTCCAGGGTCATTGGGATATTACAGATGAACTTTGTCACTAAAAGAGAGAGTCTGGCTCTAATTTACTATCTTCGTGTGGTCTTTCCAAAGTATAGGGCACATAACTGGCTATTTCAGATAAGACATATAGTAATAAATATGAAATGAAGTGGGTCTAGCCTTTACTCCAATAGAGTGACTCTAGAGCACTCTGATCTACCACAGCCAAACGTCACAGACCCTGTGGGACCACCGCTGGCTCCGCAGCAGCCCGTCAGCAGTGCCAGCGAGCCACTGCAACCTCTAGCCCACACCACTCCGCTCGCAAAACCGTCACTGAACTGTGACACGCTTCCCTCGCCCACTGCCCCCGGAAAGCGAGCCAGCCGCTCGCTACGAGGGAGACCCCAGAGTCCTTCAGCACGACCTACAGCTTGCCGCTTTCTGGACAGTTTTAAGATTACTTCTGTCATTTATAATATATTGTATTTTTTTCCCTTGGGGTTGCTGGCTTTTTGCTACTCAAATCAACTAGAACTCACACGTACAGTAGTGTTTTCTTCACCTTTATTCCTCGTTACTTTAACGTCAGCTTGTCCTACGCATGCACGACTAACTGCTGGAGCAAAGCAAGATCTACACAAACACCCAAGCAACAGATCCAGCCTTGCAGATACAATGATGATCACTCCCCAGGGATGGCTTTGAGCAGTAACTATCTTTCAGCTTCTGGTATTACTATTAGTATTGAACAAGATCATGATAATGGGAAGAACAGTGAAGATTCACGAGGAACAGAACTCTTAAGTGCCAGGCACCAGGCAAGCAACGATGCAAGGCACTGTACACTAGGAAGGGAGCACATTCAAAAAGCCGTGAACAACCAGTCTACAAGGAAAAAGCACTCGTCTATTTAAAGAGAGTAAAACACTGATTTGGGGGCTTAAATTGCATTTTCAAGTACAGAGAGAAATGTTGAGTGGCTCCTGCTACAGCACAAAGACAAGACATGAGTTCTCTTGGTTGTGGCAAAGGAGTTTCCCATCACATTTTCTTCTTTATACTAAGCCATAACAGGAAAGTACCGAGAATCACTGTGTCACCTTGAGGACCATTAGATAAGTTTGTTTTTACAATATATATTGTATATGGTATATATTTACAATATATATTATACAATATACTTTAATTTTTGTATAATATATAATAGTATATAAATTTTATACATATTTATATAGTTTCATATATTTATATAATTTCTAAAATTAAAAACGTAAAAATAAATATTAAAAAATTTTAAAATAATATTTTAAAAACTATCAGACTTTAGTCAGATTATAACAACTTCAGAGCCTCCACAAACTGAAGTACTAAACCAGGCTGACTCACTGGAATAGACTCTGCATTTCCACCCAGTCAATGAGAGATGACAAATGTCTATCAGTATGGGATAGCAGCAAAAATTTCTAGCATACATAACTGACAAGTGTCTCTAGCCCACCTAAGACACACCATCACCCAGTTCACACGAGCATGCTACCTTGACCTCGGCACACTCACTCCCAGTACCAAAGTCTTACTACAAATCAAACAGGGTTATCTGAGTGACCACCTGATGAAGTAATGATTTCCACACAGCTAAACACTCAGATTTGAGAGAAAATGTTTACTCCATTTCAAACCAGTGCAAGGAAATGTAATTACTTACGGCAGCAGCCAGAAATACAAAGCAACTGGAAATAATTAAGTACTGTGGAATTAGTATCACCATCGTCTTAAACTTAAGACTTTATTGACACGACCAATATCATGACGTATCTCTATTACCATTAAAAGTGTTTCCACGGTGGCACTGAGCTCAGCCTGAACCAATGACTGAAGCATTTACCTATCAACTTTGGTAGATCTGCAGTCCATGCTGACTTTCATACCATCTTGGTGAACCTGCCAGCACAGTCTAAACTCACTAGTTTAAAAGTAGCTCAGGTGAACTGTCTGTGAACTGCAGTTACTGCAGCAATACTTACGTATCAAAACTTCAGCATGGGAGTATTTAAATAATAGGTACCATTTCATGGAATTTTCATTTCAAGAGGTAACTAGGTAAGACTCTGTATTTTTTATATATATTACGTACAGTATACACGCACAAATATAAGTCAGAATGGATATTCATATACAAAGAGAGCAAGACATCCAATATTCCACAAAGGATTACCAGCCTCCAAAACAGCACCGTGGCAAGACAGATTCCAGATGCACTACTCAAAATTCAAGACCGGCAATAAAAAAAAAAAACTTATCAAAAGCTTACATGTGAAGTTTTGTCATCACATAGGCCAACTGCTATGTTCAAACAGACAACGCTCTACACGGTGCCTATGTGTAAGCACGTACCCCTGTGAGCACTGCTGGTCCCACCACCCACAGCTACGAGCACGGTCCCTCCCCAGGCAGCGCGGAGGAAGACCAACTGCCTCCTCTCCCTCCCCATCGCAGCAAGTATCACCTATTGCACAGTGAATTAATCAACCCCTGCCCAGCAAGCCCATCACATTATGGCAACTGATAAACTACAGTGCTTGCAGACTGCCGAGACAAACAAAGTACAGAATATAAAACTGCACTGAAAACAATGAAGTTACAGCTTAAATTCTCAAGGCACTTGCGCTGACATGAACTGCAACCCAGAGGTCTCCAAATATTGGGAAATGCAATGAGCAAGTCTTCATAACTGCCTACGAAATACATTTGCCAATAAACAGAGTGCATCATAAGAAAAATTAATACCATGCACTCACAAGACTCTCCTCCTTTCTCTAATTAACCACATACACCTTCAGAGTGTATGTTTCTTCTTCACCTGAAATCATCATCACACTGTGATTCAGCTGATGCATGCTTTTGTATCAGAACAATGCCTATTCCTTTCATTGCATATGTATCCAAGTAACTCCTCTGACAGTGAAGGGAGAAGGAAGGCAAGGTCATGAGCTCAGCTCCAGCCACCCCACAGAAAGCCTACAAAAGTTCCCTTCAGCTCCCAAGTCAGTCCCATGACTGCTACCAGCTTCCAGCAAGACAGGAGCTGCTAGCACTATGGACCCTGCACATTAAATTGCATCTCCCCAAAACAGCTGATCACCTGCACAGATTACCCTGCTCTCTTGATCACAGAGAACCTATTTTGGATCTCTTCAGTGCTATCAAAGCAATCTCTCAGGCTTACAAGGAGACTTACATCAGCCACCTGAGCCTACCTGATGCATTTTGCTACCTCCAAGTCAGCTTTGTTTAAGCACCTTGTAAGTATTCTAGAGAAGACAGGGGCTTGGGACAGTGCTCCAGGCCCCAGGGAATCTTCTAGCAAGCTTGGAAGGTCTGCAAATCTTCTCAGAAGTGCCATCTTCCAGCAGCCTTCTCATAACAAGCCTCATTGCAGTGTTTCTGGAGACAACTAGCTGCCTGTGGCTGCTGTGCTGAGGATTACCCTGAACAAGGGAACAATACTTTTTTTTTTTCCTTTTACTCACAGTTAAATTATTTTGTCCACCAACATATAACAGATGAAGTTCAAGGTTCATATTTAGAAGAAGTCTTGTACTTCAATAGAATAACAATATTTGTTTGCTTCTAGAGCTGTTGCACATGTGCCTGTCCTCTCCCTGCTCCCCATAGTCCAATGTAACACCATTATCCCCATAGTCCAATGTAACACCAGTGGAAATTCTGACAGGATTTCCACTGGGGTCAGGGAACAGAGGTGAGATAATTCATGAGAAACAATACAAGGCAAGTACCTTAACTTCCACTAGAATTTGAGCCAGGCTTTGTTACTCTGTACTAGCTACCACGAGCCTCCACTGTTATTATACCTTATTGCAGCCTAACTCTGTGCACTCACTGCTCCTTTGTATCCATCTCTCCACAAACCACTCATACTCCCTCCTTTGGCTCTCAACAGCTGCTTTTTGTGAACATCTCTAAGGTTATCTTAATCCTTTCTGCCAAAGCCTTCCCTCAAATTTGACTTGCAACAGTTCCCACCAAAAAAAAGCCCTCAATTCTTCAGTTTGAGCCACTCTGACTACCGCCTATCATTCTGACCATACGTCCTTCAAACGAGTTTGTACTTGGGTCCTAAGCTGGCAAGCACCCCGGCTGGCACCAGCCCTCCCTGCTCTGCAAGGTTCCAGCCTACCATCAGGGCTCGGAGGTACCATAGCAAACAAACAACTAGTTGTCTTTTCCTGCAGAAAATAAACCCACTGTCTGATGTCAGTAACAGAATCCCAGATTTGGATTTAGTAGGAACAGATCAGACAGACACAGATCAAATAAGGGCACACGACAATCCAGAATTTCTTCTAATTTAAACATCTCGCTGTTAACAACCTATCACTGCCAGCATCTGCAGATATGCCTGAAGGGCATCTTCTCTGTTCTCTTGTCCACTTGGGTCCACAGAGCACAACCTGAAGTCCAGAAGTCGGAGAGGACTTTTGAACTGACAAGGACAAGAAATCACACCAACAGATACCCAGCTTAAAGGTTCTTAAATTCAGACACCCTTGCCAAGGAAACAGGAAGCAACACTGTACGCTACAGAACAGGATTGCAGTGGCACTTTTACCAAGCAGAACTGTACTTTGACCAAGTCCTGCTTTCTGAGCGCACTTAACTTGGTAAAGCAAGAGCACCCCTGAATTCTGATCACTTCACTTCCTCCATATTTTCCTTCTGTTCCTTAGGTTTTGTCATGAGAAACAGCCACCTAAAAGTATTCACTAGGGTTTAATGACACATGGAAAAAAGTTTAGAAAGTTTATGATCTAAAATTTTAACTTAATTGGTATGAATTATTTCTCATCACGATTTAGAATGTAGCAGGGGACCCTCTTTCTTCTCTACCTTAACAGAAATGACAACAATATTTAGCCATTGTACCCAACACACCAACAACTTCAACACAGGCAGTGTCAGGAATTAAAATACTTTGGAGGTCCAGTATTTTACTGTGCATCCTGTGCATTTTGGCGGCAGATGCTTTGCTGTGAATTACCATTTGCTTAACCCCTTCTAAAAAACAAGTAAGGGAGTCCCAAATACTTACCGTTGCTAACCATGCGTCTAGCTACTTCCCAAAGGACCAGCCCAAAAGCCCAGATATCGACCCTTTTGTATGAGTCAAAGCAGTCTGCCTGGATAGTTTCGTCCAAGACTTCTGGAGCCATGTAGCGTTTGGTACCCACACGGGGATTGTTCCCCACATCCAATTGATTCGTGCTTTGGGAGTGCATAACTGCAAGGCCTGAAGGACAGGATAAAAAAAAAATTACTGTTAAGTCCCCTTTAAAACTATAGCAGCATATGTTTAAAATTAGATGTGAGCAGTGACACCCATCAGACAGTTTCTTAAAAAGGAGCTGAGAGTCCAAGTGTCCAAAGACCAACTGGGTCAGCTCCAAACTAGCTATCGAAAACAGCCACTGTGTCCATCGACTTAGATCAATTATCTCCTCAGGGATTACCATTAAACATGTTATTGCACTGTTGCAAAATGTTATCATTAAGTGTTTTGCAGCCACTGGATGTCACCAGCGCTCCAGGCACGTATACACAGAAGACCAAGCATCTGTTACTTAGAAGAAAACAATTTTACACAGCATTCAAATTTATTTATAGAACTTTTGGGTAGGTGGATATATCCAAACTGTGGGAAAGAGAGAAGAAAAACACTGCATGATGGATATACACAAGTTAAAAAATAAAGCTGGAAAATAAAAAACACCGTATTTGCAGTAGCTTGAAAAATAAACATCCTCAAGCTGATCTAAAATGAGTCACTCAAAACCACTCTACCTGGTTTCTACTAATTACTCAACATTTAAGCAAAGAACATTATGTGAGGGACTAAATTACTGTAAATTTGGAAACACAGAGTACTCATTTTGCCATGGTAAACAGAGAACACTGCAAATTGAACAGCAACAGGTGCATGACATAACTAAGCAATAGAAAAGACTACAAACTCTCCCTAATTTCCTGCACAATCTTGTAAGAATAACATATACTATTTACATTTAGCATGAGTTTATTTTAGATTAAACTTAAAAAGCATTTTATCTCAGTCCCACAAAAAACTAACCTATCACCAGATCATTAATTTTTTTTCTTTCCAAAAAAACCAGTCTGTTCTTCACCCTAACAAAAATTTGGAAAACACCTTCCTACAATCTAAATTCAATTCAAGTAATTTCAAGCTGCTAAGAAAATGCTTATGGCACCTCTAGAAAGATACCATCTACTAACCACATGACTGCTGAGAAGATAATTTGGAAAGCCTGCTCTCCAGATAAAAATACTTTTTGTCATATATACACACACACACACATATATAGGACATCTACAGACACACTTATACATTTATGTGTTTGTTTATGTTTATATTAACTTATATTATACAATATGTATGGATTATAGTATTTTTAAAGAAAACTTGCACACTGCAAACAAAGGTTAGAAAACAAATTTCCTGGCACACTCTGAAGATATCAAGACTTTGGAGAACACTTTGATAAAAATCATAATACTCCATCCAAACCGGGCAAAACAGATTCAATAGATTGACAGGTCAAAGGTTTAAGGCTGAGGGATGCAAGTCAGCATCCCACACACTACAAACTAAGAAAGTGTTGCAATAAGGTCAGGGGACAACAATGTTGTAATCAGGTTCTCATCGTGGTGGTATCTGTGCTCTTTATGAGAGTTAGGAAGCAGATATTGCACTGCTTCAGTTTCTTTTCACCTCAGGAGATCTCAATGCGCATTTAACTTAAGGGCGCAGAAATGCTTGTCAGAGAGGCTCTTACTTTAAGATGCTAGATCTTTAAAAAAAAAAGAGAAAAAGAAAAAGAAAAAGCTTGACAGGAATACAAATAGATGAAACACATTAGTTAAGACATCAAAAAATCCTCATTAGCATACTGGATTATCTGCTAGAAACAAAAATTGAGCAAATACGTTTTGTCAGCATTCTTTGCACCTTCCTTACAAATACCAGTGTTTGTTTCAAATGGACATTCACTGCTCTGTATGGAGGGGCAAGGGGAAAGATGGAGTAAGAGGAGAGTTGGGCTTTTTCTTACTTTTGTACATTATTCTGCTGTTCTATAAGGTTGCTCAACTAAGACCTATTACCATGCACATGAATTGCTTTAGAAGTAGAAGGGCAGGACTTTTCCACAGTGCTGACAGATTGAAGTGAGACTGACACCTATCCTTGGACTTTATCACACAGCTTCTGCTTAGCTAGAACATATTTGAAACAGCCAGTTTTGTAATGCAACTCTGGATACTCGGGTTGCTGTTCAAGATACTAGTTTCCAGCACGCTTGCTGAGAGACAAGCGGCCAATTCACAAAGCTCTTGCACTTGCTGCCAGCCAGAAGGACTAGGACTGAATGGCAACAAACATCAAGCTACACTGCAGTTCAGGCGTGCAGCACTCAGGCTGCCAGCAAAACAGACAATTACAAGATATACGTCCAAGTGATTTTATTCCTCTCTGTTTTTAGAGCTGACACCTATTCTTAACAGATACACTGCAAGTCCAGAACCTGGTGTGACTGACAGAACCCAAGTCCAGCTTAGGTCTGGGCAGCTGTAGTGAATCTTTCCATCTGTTCATACTTACCAGTCTCTAAGTGCCATTTTTCTTGCATGGTGCGTGTGTTGAAACAGAGAAGACCAGAAGAGGAAAAAAAGACAAAGCTATACAGAAAAAATGGGCATGAATATATGGCAGAAGCAATGAACTCTTTGGTAACTCTCCTTTACAGATAAGGAACAAACAAAGAACATGTCGGATACATTCCTGAGGATTTCACATTTTAAAAAAATAGCTATTTTACCACCATGAAAACTAACTGGGAAATGTTTATTGCTGTGCTTTCTCAGAAAATCTCTCAAATGTCTGAAGGCTCTAAATAAATCATGTAGTAGATTTCACTTTATTAGCATAATGTCAATCAATGCCAGTATGTGCTGCCCTCTCCTCAGTGTGAACTACAAATTTATTTAAAAGTCAGTCTCTGAAGTTTTGTATTTTCAACTTATTGGTCCATTTTTTACTTACTATTCCCTCTGCAAATTTAGATAGGCCCAGGTGTGTGGCTTTCATGTCTTCCCTGTGTGTTTCTCATGTCCCTCAGGCAAATCTGATAGGAACTATGAAATAGAATTATTATTGAAAAAATCCCATCTCCCACTGTACTTTTTGTCTAGCCAATGACTCCTCAATACTATTGTTCTACTGCTATTTTCTCCCTTGTCCTCAGAGAAAAGGGGAGGTGGGAATAGTCAGACATATGCCCAAGGTGTGAACGAGCCATACTGTTGCAGCTGTTTCTCAGCATCCTACCAGATCAAAGTATAAAACCAGTTGGTCATGGAGAACCCAATTTTGGGCTCGCTGAATTATCTGGCAAAAGACTCAAGCTGGATGGATCTATGGAGCTTGGGACAATGAGCACATAGTTCTTAGACTACAAGTGGAAGGACATTTATTAGTTCAGAAATGAGCTGAAGCCTAATAACTACTGCCTTCTGGGATCCATGAATGGAATTTAACAATGAAAACCCAAGAAAAAGTCCAAAATGTTACATCTGCTCCTGAACTGGGAGGCTACACTGGGCCTCCTCAACAGCAGTGGCATTTTTAAGTTTTAAGTGCCATCTAGTGGCTGTCGTAAGCCTTCGGGGTAATACCACATCATGGCAAGGCTATTTAAGGTTACTGTAAGACTTCTATGGTTGGAGTTATCCAATATATTTGATTACTGCAGGAATGCACTGAGTATATTAGCATCGAAATGAACTCACCTAAATCCGCTATGCAGCACTGTCCATTTTTCTTAACGAGGATATTTTTGCTCTTCAAGTCCCGATGAGAAATGGCAGGCTTCCCCTGGGTTCCAAATATCTCTATGTGCAAATGTGCAAGACCACTAGCTATGGACAGTACTATGCGTAGGCAGCTGACAGTGTCCAGGGTAGTGAGCTGTAGATAGTCATACAGAGACCCCATTTCATGGTAGTGGGTAATTAACCACAACTGGGTACTAGAGTTTCTGGAAGTCATATCAGATGCAATAAAACCTAGAAAGAGGAGGAAGAAAAAAGGAGAAACAACAAAATAAAATGACAGACCTCCTTCAAGACTCCTGCAAGAAAAGAATCAATACTACTAGGCCCCTCCTGCAATTTAAAATTCTGTTTAATTAAAACTTTTCCATGATTGTAATGCACTGAAAACAGATTGCAGATATTATCATGATGAAAAAAGAGCTGACATATTCTGGAATTCTAACTCAAGTCTATTCATAAGAATGTATTTATATATTTTGTCAGTCACACCAAACACAAGTACTTGTCAGGACCACATACTTATAATTTTTTTTTTTTTTTTTTTTTTTAAGAACTTGGAGGTGGGGAAGTTTCCCATTAAACAAAAAGATCACCAGGTTGTAGCACATCTGCTGCTGTATATTCAGCAGGATCACAGTGGAAAGAAGCAATACCTCAAACAGACAAGTCGCAATTAATCATTTCCATTTTTAAGGACAACAAGCAGCCAATGCAGGCTGCTGAGAAAAGGGTTAAATCTGCTTCATGTATGCATCACATCCCAATAAACAGACACCATACACTGTGCCAGCTTCACGTTTACATCCAAGTGAAGTCTATTAAGAGCACTTCCAACAGTCAACCTTGACATGTCAAAAGGTTGCTGTCCCCACAGGAAATGTCATACCCTTCTGACCAAATATAGATTGAAAAAAAACACATCTCACCACAGCAACAACTTGCTCTCCAATGATCTCCAATTGCTTAAAAGGCTGCAGAGGGATTGCTGCAGCCTGATAAATTATCAGACCTATGGGACTGCTCTAAACTGCTGTAGGGTCCAAATGCCTGACCTTCTTAACTGTTCACCAGCTCACAACGGAGCCATGGGATATAAAAACTGGCAGATGGCTAAGGAGAGTGTGGCAGCACCAGAAGATTAGCATAGCAAAACCCAAGGAATAGTAATTCTTCTACTTCGAATACTAGACAGTTCAACTGTCTAGTTCAACTGGTGTGCAATGTCCATGGTGAAGCAAGGTAGAGCACCTTTATGCATGATAGCTGTATTTCACAATTATTTTCTACAAAGGAACTGAGAAAAATTTCTCTTCAAAACTCATGAACTTCAAGAAGTGCTTTCAAAAATGTGGTGCCTTAAAACTGAACCCAAAATTTAGAAGTAGCTCCCTTCCTGTTACCTCTGAATTTATTGTGTATCAGCACACTGTTGACCTCAACAGCTTTAGCTGGGAAGCAACAGAAGTTTTATTCCCAACTTAGAGGAACAAATCATGTTTATTAAAAGCCCACATATGACATTTGTCAGAAAGAACACCCACTACTTTCTCTCCTGAAGTCAGATTTCTACACAATGTGACACTTCTGTAATCTGTGATATTGTTTAATATTGCATCTAAAAAAAATTCTATAAAATAGCCAACAAATTTGACAGTTATCAAGAAAGACTAAACACAGACAGAGGAACATGGGAAATGTGTAATGCAATTTCAGCCAAGTTACTTGCTCTCTTGGGAAGGAAAGTTCAATAATCCACATTTCAGGAGACCACCAAATTATTTTTGTAGTAGCAAAGGAACTGCTTCAGGAAACATTAGACAAACATCTAGCAGGGTGAGCTATAGAGCCAAGGAATATTCTTTGACAGGAAACAAGAATAAGGAGCCCAAACAAAACTGATTGAAGACAGACAGATTGTCGGTGAGGTAATGTCAGCACTCCCAAAACATGCTGCTGCTTTTATTTGTAAAGGTGGCACGCCAGCAAAAGAAGGTCATGTCTGCTAAGAATCAAAACGGCTACTTAAACTTCAGCCATGGCTCACAACACAAAAAAGCCATTTTCTAAGCTCTCAGAACTGAGCACACAAGGTACAAGGGATGCAGAAGATTAAAAATCATTGTAGTTTCCTATTTACAGCGAAATGAGATACATCATAAAGGGGCAACTACAGTTGAAGTTTAAACACCAAAAGCAGCTTAGTTTGACCCTCAGCAGAGCAGTTAAACAGAAGAAAATAATGGATTCATACTGCACTTTATTCAGGCACAAGGAAAATTATTCAAATATTTAAATCGTATTATAAACTCCTCCCCACTTTTTCTCCCTTCATTTCTCCCAGGTAAACTGAAGTTAGAAGAAAACATAGATCCACTAGAACTTCTCCACCTAATGCACTGTGCAACACTCTTTTGCTACGTGGCTGCCTTGCAGCAAGAGCTGCAAGGGTGAATTCTTAGCATGCAGGTCTGTGGCACCTCCATCCTTCTCTACACACTGTGCTGCCAACAATTGGTTAATCTGGTTGACTGATTCTTGCTAGAATACTGCAAGAGGATAAGGATTCATGGTTGCTACAACATTTTCTCCAGTTGAGACTTGGATTTCAGCACCCTCCTGGCAAGCCTCCCCCTTAAAATTTCCCTTCAACTATTTATCACAAACACAGGAAGCTAATCTCAAAGAATGCAAGATACCTGGCAAATCTGCAGTGCTTTACAAGTGAACTGTTCAGTTAACTCACCTTTACACCAGCTACACTAGGATACATGAACATGGTTGTTCTACTTACCTAAAATATTTTCGTGCCGCAGCAATACAGTGTTGTACAATTCAGTTTCCCTGAACCAGGATTTTTCATCCCTAGAAGAGAAGATCTTCACAGCAACATTTTCTCCTTGCCACTGACCCCTCCAAACTTCTCCATAACGGCCCTTTCCTGGTGGGGGAAAAACACAGTAAAAGTTGTCAACTAACAATCTTCATAGGCCAGAAAGACAGGATTAGCTAATAGGACGGAAATTCAACAGTCACAGCACAAATATCAAACTGATGTAGTTTCATCACCCCTGCATACGCTTTTTACCACTTTACAGTCACGCTGTGCTCCACTGTCCCTTAATTTTTCCTGTTTGTTTCAACTGCAAGCTCCAAGAGTATGGATCTCTCCTCCTAGCATGTTGGTACAGTATACAGAGTGTTTGTACTGGGCAGGTGTAATCATTCAACTACCAGCAATGAAAGTGCATCTGCATCTTCAACAACTTAGGCAGCATGCTACAAGGTCAGTGTAAACAATACAAACAAATCTATGAAGTTAGGAGGACAGGAGGGATATGTAAGGCTGGGGATACAGCCTTTACATTTCTATCAACCCTTGCAAAAACAGTCAGCACAGCCAGACACATAAAATGCAGAATGATGATTAAAGAAAACCAACCTAAACACAAAAAAACCCAACCACCCACAAACAAAAAACATTTTAAAAAAAACCAAAACCCAAAAAACCCACCCTGACCTGTGGAGACCAGGACACATTGTCTGCATGCCAAGCTTTTTACCCAAACAGCCTAGAAGAAATGTATGAAATTATCAAGTACCCAAGAGCAAAGAAACATCCTGGACAAGGCGCACTGGAAAAGTTCCGGTTGTTGCCATTTTCATCACAGCCCAAAATATGATAGCCTCAGGCTTAGTGCAATGAATTGTGCTAGATTTGACAACTATAAATATCCAAATTGTGCCCTTCATTGCTCTGCAGTTCAGTGTTCTTTAGAGGCACGTACGAATCAGCAGCAGGTATAACCAAATGAAGAGAGATACCCAACACTGATGTCTCAATGCTGTCACCCAGAAGAGACTTCTGCACAAGGGCTTTCATTTGGTTCTGCTATACAAGCTAAAACACATGGTCTCTTGAAATAGTGTCAGCCTGAGTTAACTTGGGAGCAGGCATAATTCCAGGGATGCACATTTATTCACACGTATATACACGTGCAAAAAGATGTCTCCATATTGCAGGCAAAATCATCATGTGTATCATATTGTACAGTTTCTGATGAAGAGAAATTGCAGAGCATCAGAGGATGTACACTTGGATTTAACGCAAGTGTGAACATTTGTGCCTACTCAATACATACTATAAGCCAAAAGCAAAGAAACACTGGTAAAATGTAGGCCCAGTCCCTATAGATTCACAGATTCATCTGTTTTAGTCAGGCTTGATTTAACACCCTGATGAGTTAAAAATTCTAGTTACTTACAGGAAGGTGTTACCCATTCTGAGTTCAAATCGCTGAAGAAGCAGCATAAAACATATTTAAAACAGTCCTTTTTTCCCCGAGTAGAATCAAATTGTTATCATGCCTTCCTCACCTCTTTAGTGCCAGTACAGCATCTTGGCTCAGTGTCACTGCCTCAGGATATCTTTGACCCAAACACTTCCTAAAATTACTAAACTCACATTTAACACTATTCAATTAATAATATATATATGGTGAAGAAAAATTTAATGGATCCTTAAAATTAACACTTAAGTCCTGCAAAAAACTAAAGACCCAGAAAAGTTTTAGGGAAGAACTACTAGAGAGATTTTCTCTTTAAGGGAGAAAAGAGCAGCAACAGTACCTCATTGCCTGCATGGTCCCAAAGCAACAGTGCAGAGCAAGTAATATACAAAACATTCATGTTCCTATTCTAATAGCACAAAATTACAGGTTGGTTTGGTTTTGTTTATTTTTTCAAATGCCACGTTAGCCACTTTGCTTGATATTTCAACTCCAGATCTCAAATCCAGATGATCCTTTTCTAATTCTAAACCTTTCTACTTGAACATCATTTAATGAACAAATGTTTGTTTCACAGTTTGACAGTTTCAAACTTCAAATTGAGCTTGCTTTTCTAAAAACATCATTTATTCAGCTTAAAGTACCCAAACAAGCCTAGTTTCTATTTTCTAACATTGCATTACTGAATAAAGCTCAAATTTTTCAATCATAAAGCATAGATGATATTTGCTCCTTTCTTCTGCATAGATCTGAAAGGAATATTTTCACTTGACTTTACAAAACCAAATATGTTCCGTAAGCTGAAGCCTGAAAAGTTTCATATATTATATAAGCAACTGAGGGAAAACAGTTGATTGGGATGGGAGATAAAGCTTTCTCTCTGCATTTGTTATCAAGACTTGGCACTAGATGCGAACAAGAATTATACTAACCTACACACTCTACAAGTGTGATCTGGCGAGCCACCGTTCTTTGCACCAAGAAAGGAAGTCCAGAACCACTTCCAGATGTGCAGGAATGGTCCAATAAATCCTGTTCAAAAGGAAAAGAAGTTTACAATCTATGAAAAAGTACATTTTTTTCCCATTTAAATACACAAAGGTACACCACTTCACGGGATAGGTTGAGTTAAAGCTCATTGGTATCTCAATGGCTCTGGTGATGCTATTTGGTCACTCAGGGTCAAGACATATCACTGCCGTCACTGTACAGATGGACAGAAAAAGCTCTTCGCAAGATTCTACCACTTCAGGGAACATTCCATGCATAGAAGAGACTGGTAGGGGAGCTATAACTTAGGCATAATCACTTTCTGTTCAAAGTTTTACAAACAACACAACAAGAAACAGCAAACAAATCCAAGCATCGCTTCATGCTCAGATTTCTTATTTTGTCTCTATATCTTATATTTGACATTACAGTATCATTTTGTCTAATAAATAAATAATTTTGTTTAATAAATAAATGACAATAAATTTACTCCCTGTAAACCTGAAAGCTCACTTGTAGCCTATAAGCTATCCTCTGTAGTGAAATTCCATCCTTTTTCAGCACTTTGTTGTTCTCTTAATTAGCTTATGCTCTCTCAGTTCTGTGTCATCTATTTCAAACAGGTTAATATCAACTTTTTTTCCCCCAAAGATTTCTATGTCTTGCAATAATCTGAGCCACCTCAAAAAGAAATAAACATACTTTCTCTGACTTCTATGCTTAAAACTTTCATCTCTATACAGAGATGGAGCACCACAGAGCATCCACGGGGGAACGGACTCACATGTTTGTGAACACAACTGTTAAACCATAAGCTTTTGAAGTGGCTCAATACAGAAGAGCACCGAGAACGGCCACAGGCACGTCTGGCACCACAGGGTTTTCTCTGATAAATTTCAAGTCCCTGCCCCAAATTAGAACTTCTTTAAGAGACAACACCCAAATAACTTCTTGTAAGTCTCCTTCCCTAAAGTGGCTGAGCCATGCTAGATGAACAGTCCCCTGAATTAAAAAAAAAAAAAAAAAAAAAAAAAAACAACAACAAAAAAAAGCACAGAAAACACCCCCCACCCCCACCCCCCCCAAAAAAAACCCCAAACCGCACCGTTCTGTGGTAGATAACAGTCATGGGAAGTTTTGGCCCAAACTATTCAAGTTTAGTACAGTTTTTTATAACTTAAAAAGGTTTTAAAATAAACAAGGTGATAGGCGTATTACCTGTACCACCTACACTAGATATGTCATTGATACTCCAAAGAACTTTCCGTAACAAGTCTTTCTTAAAAGTTTTTATCAGTTTCTAGTATTTTTAGTGCATGGAAACCAGACTTTATTTAAACTGTAAGCTTATAAAAAAACAGGAGTAAGATTCTAATTGAATGTTAAAATCCTATTAGCCTTTTAAAGTGCTAATACCCAGCTACTTTTATGGCTAGGACTTCCGTACTAGTTCAAGGCATTAAAAACTGTATTACTGGACTTTTTTTCCTTACAAAGGAAAATAGGATAAAAAGCATAAGCATAATCAACTTTCCAATATTTCCAGCAAATTGTACTACTGGGCTTTAACCAGATCTGATGAAATCTCATTTCTCCTAACAACTTTTTAATGAGTACTCAAGAAAAAGATAATCTAAGAATGATAGGAGGCTTCTATTTTGCTTTTTAATACAAACTGAGAACTCATTTTCCTTCTTGCTTGTATCAGAGGCACCCCCCCCAACTTATCTGCATCAACTGTAAAAACAAGATTTGAAGAGGCCACAGCTCTTTCCATTCCCCATTAGGAAGCTTAGGGCTTTACGCGTTTGCTACATTATGGATGGAGACTAATCCTAAATGTAACTAATGTGTAACAAAAACAGCAATTTAAAACACACAATGGAGAAGAAAAATCCGGAATTTAAAAAAGACTTACTGTTTACATGAACATTAAGGAACTATCTTTTTTTTTTTCCGTCACCAACACTCAAGAGGCACACCAAAGGCACTGCAATCTTAGAGCTAATAGGGTCTGACAGCTGAGAACACAGCTCCATTAGACTAAGCCTTTAGTTAGTAACTTCTCCAAGTTATTTTAAAAAGAATTTTGATTTATTCTTCTCAGGTTTTATCACCCTTTCCAAGTAACATTAAAGGACTTGAAGTACAAAAGGTTTGCAAATGGAATGGAAATGGTCTTGCACTGATAAGAGATAAGAGCTGGTAAAAGCTGGAAGTCTGTGCTTAAAGACAGATAACCAGTTGCACACGTGCTTAGTGCATGGTGAACATATCAAAACTGGCTGTTTTAAAACAGTAACACAGAATCAAGCTTTGTAAGCTAATTAAAGCCAAAGGCATTAAAAAAAAAAAAAAAAAAGATTACCAAGTATAGTTTATATAGGACCAAGCTGAAGCAAAATAGCAGGGCAAGGAGTTCCACTGGTTCAATTAGCACCGTGTTAAGAACCACCTTCCTTGTTTTTATCCTTGCTCTAACTTGCTAATTTTGATGCCTCCCCCTGTTATTGTACTGCAGAATGCAAACAACTGATTCCTACCCACCCTCTCCTTACCCCTTGCCATGTTGTATGTCTCCACCATACATACACACATACCCACCCACCCACCCCCGCTTAAGAGAACCAGGCTCTTCTTCCTGGCTGAAGCATTGGTTTACCTACTCGGTTCCCCACACAGGCTGTTTCAAGATTGCATATTGGGGCATCCAGATGACCAAGAGTCTGATTACTCAGTTTTAACCTATTCCTCCTTAAAGAGGAATCTTCCCTGCTCCAGTGCTATCCCTGGCTATCTCAAACCCTGAAAACTTACTTGTCAGAACATACTGTCTTATGAAAGGGTTTTCCACGTGACTCTTCCAGCACTTATTCACAGCAGTATTTTATCAAAACATCTCTGCCTCAAAACAAAGCGATGCAAGAAATAGTTGCCAGCTCCCCAGAATAGTTCCATTTTTTGAACGGTCCCACAGATCTTACTTTTAATAAATTCCCATAGCTGGGCCTGCAAAGGGGTTGCCAACTTTCAGGTGAGGAGGTACAACCATTTTCTGGGTTTTGGGGTTTTTTTGTTTGTTTGTTATTTTTGACATAGTCAGAACTCCTTCCCTAGTTGGTGGCAACCAACACTTTCTAAGGAAAATATCAAAGGTTATTCCTCAATTAGAGATAACCATTTTAGTTTCTCTCTCCTACAGAAAGAAACACAGTCCAAAACATAGAAAGCAAATACGCAGTCAGTGTATTTAGTAGCATATTATTAAAAATATTTGTGTTTTGGACCATTTTTCTTTAGCCACTTCTCAACCCTGCAGTGAAAGCATATTATGACAGGAAAGCACCAAAATGGAAAGTGTTTTCCAACCTCTTAATGTTGAAGAGATTTTATCTTAGAAATGCAAGGAGGCGAAAACTTCTCCTCTTTGCATTGGTTTCAGAAACAAACACTCAAGCTGCCTCTGAAGCCTTACTTGCTCATTTTCAATAAAGCACAAGAAAGCTGCTGGGAACACTTTTTTCCTAGCCTCAAGTGAAAGGGTAAGATACATTATGTCTTTAGAAAGGAAACACTTCTCCATGTCATTTTATTTTCCAGAGACTGTGTGAACAAGAACATATTTTAAAAACTGAATTCTGAGTAAGTGGTTCTCATTCTTAAAATTCCTACTGTTCTTCTGTCAACAAAATTTCACTAATTTCCTAGTCATCCGAGAGCGCTTCTACTAAGATCATGGGGGTCAGGTTTGAAGTTTTTAAAAGTTAAAAATATCTGTATTTTCTTCTTCCCCTAGTATCACATCTTTTCCAACCTTTCAGGCTGTCTTCATATATCAAAGATGCAGCACATTTTTACACCTTTCATATCACTTCAGGCTACCCAACAATCAGGCATACTCTGTTTTACTGTTTTGACATTGCTTCTAGGAACATAAACAGTTTGACTACAGTTTATAGCAATTCTCCAGGTCAAGGAAGCTATACTTGCAAAAGCTATCTTTTGGTTAAATTTAATTTAAACTACAGTTTTGTGGGCATAGGAATGTCACCACAGAAGTCCTGACGCTAAGTGGCATCCCCTGGCAGCAAAAGGTCCTGTTACTGACGTGGCCATGTCTGGAGGGTACGAGAGGGGAGTTCAGAAGTGAAAAAATCTCAAACAAATTTTCACCATGCACACAGGTTACTTACTGCTAACGTGCTGTCTCCAACGTTTGATGCAATGAGTCCCTCAATTGTGCCATATTCTGCATCTCTAGAATTGAGCCTCTCCATATGGTTTTTCTGTATTCTCCGGATGATCAGCACAGCTACTGCAGAAAAAACTATCAACACTATCACAGGAGCCAGTATAACAATGATTAGTGTTTCCATGCTGTAACCTGCAGCTTCTCCTTGAAAGGTTTGCCCTTGGAAAGGAGAAGGGAGGAAAAAAAAAAATCACAAAGGAAAAAAAAAAGAGAGAGAAAAAAAATTAATTTTCAAATTCCCAGAGAAAGTTTTTAAAACCAGTAGCACTGACACCAACATTTAACTTGGTAGGCACCTAGTCTGAAAGAGAGGCTGCAACACAGCCAGAGCTATGAATGTGCACTTATACAAAGGATGCTACCACAGCAGCTCCCTGCAGAGCTGTTAGAACAACCCCGTCCCTTCAGAACAAACCACACCTGTGACTGCACAATTCACTCACAGGCAGTAACTCAATCCTGACCCTGACCCCTATCATTCATCCAGCAATACAGATCATTCGACCTGTGGACATCAGATGTGTGCCAGTGGGCCCCAGAGTGGGAAACAAGGTAGAAAGGGCCTTACTGAGTTGATTAAGCCCTTACTTATGCTAGCACGGAAGCCACCTCATTCCCATCACATCAAATGAAAGCCAAACATTTTTTCTTTCTCAAAATTCACTATTTTTTAACCTCTCACCCTTAGAAGAAGGCAACTGTGCTGTGATATTCATGTTGCACAAGTATCCTTGGCAGCACTCAACAGCTTGGTCAGGAGATGGAGGTGTTTTGCATGTCATTTTCCCTTGTTCATAGACTTGGAAGCAGCCTTTCTGGTAAACCTTAGCACCATCATTAATGCTCAGGGAAGCAAAACATTGCTGGCCTTGGCAACGATCTCCATTCCCACAGGACATGCCTTCACACACACATTCGTAGTGGACCATATTTAGCTTCAGTTCATCATCTGTAAAAGGGGAGAGGTGAGGAAAAAACACCATCGTATTCTTAATAGCTTCAGTTATATAGAGATAATGAAATCATTAGACAATAAAACCTTCTGTTTAAGGGAAGAAATACTTGCAGCTAGTGCTGAAGAACCACCAAGTAGGAGCTAACAATACTAATTTAGCTGTTTCAGGAAGACAAAGATATGAGCTTGCACCATCAAAGAAATACCAGTGATATCTGCCCACTCCAGGTACTCAAATTCAAGAGTTCAGTGACATTTTACATCACCTCTCGCACAGACACTACTGCAGGTATACAACATGGGAGGATCATCTACACAGGGACACTCAGCAGATGAAAAAAAAACCTAACAAAGAGTGTAAATTTAAAACAGATTTGCTAAACCACATTATATTTCTATATGGAAATAGTTGTTCTCAAGCATTCCAGAAATTACTTTAACTAAATCATATTAAGGCCAATTAAATTTGCAGTGGACACAGCTACACAGGATTGAGCAGCTCTAACTAGCTTGCTTGAAAAGTAAATCTGGACCTACTCTCCCACGAAGACAAGCCTTTGAGGAGTACCTTGCAAGTCTGAGTAACCACGGAGATAAAAAGTAAAGCGAGAAGCCGCACACACTGTCAGCAGTACAACACTTCCCTTCTAACTCCAGAAGCTTCAACTAAATAAAAGGAATAACTTTTAAGAGAATGTATAGAGTAGGAAACTAAACTTCTAAGTATCCTCAGCAAAGTGCCTGGAGATCCCTAGCTGGGATCTGTGTGGAACCGCACACACTGCTGCTTTCAAGAATGGCACATGCCTTTGAACACACAGCACTGAGTCACTCTGGTCTCTGCAGGAGAGCACACCACTCTCAACTAGCTAACAGAGAACACTGGAAGCTCTTCAGTTTCCTGGAAAATACAGGTGCCTGTGGGAGTAAGCAGCCCTGTGCACTCCCAGATGCTGAGAAAAGAGGCACAGCTGTGAAGGACAGAACAAGTCACTGCTCTCTGTTACACACATCCCATGCATACACACACACATTTATGGCAACTTAACTCATATTTACATTGTCTTTGTCAGTTCTAACACACAAGAAAAATTTCCAGCCACAAATACAGTGGATGCTCCTAAAATAGGAGTGGAACATACCATGTGTTGGACTTTTTCAAGCCTATCATTAGAGTCTGCCTACTGGGAATATAACTCAGTTAGTTTTCCGCTTTGTTTTCCTCCCCTCCTCCCACAATGAACAAATACACAAATATAGTTTTCCATTTTTGAACAACTAACAAAAACTAAATTAGGGAAAGAATCCTGAAATCAGACAGCGTCTGCCACATTGATTTCAAGTACTGGTATACACAATCCGTCATACGCATACCAAGTAATAACTTTGCTAATTTTGTGGAACATAAAAAAAAAAGGAAAAAAATGTGAGCCAAACATTCCTATAATCAAAGTTCTGTTCCTTCTCCTCCCACAACAGCAGCAGTAAAACACAACCGGTATTGTAACACACAAGCCCTTAACCTTGGTTCGTCTGGCTGGAACTGCCGAAGGCATTCAGAGCCAGAGACCTAGAAGGGACTTCCTCCCAACGCGTAGCCACGACCTGCCTAAAAGATCCATACCTTCGGTAAGGACAGCCTTCCCCAGAACAGCCCTTCAGCAGCAAGGATTTCAGTACCTTTCAGTGAGAGAGATACTTCTGTTGTCATTGACAAACACAGGCCTGTGAGAACAGAGCTGAGGAGGCTTGCAGGCTGCAGTAACAGCCATTTCAGCTATTAAGTAACAGCAGAAATAGCTGCTATATGGAGTAGGACAACTAACCTACCATCTGAGCGCCATATCAAGTCCCCAAGGGAAATTCCTCTGGCTTGCAGCCTGATCCAGCCTAATACTTCCCTCTTCTCTTGACTCAAGGACCCTTCAAGACTGAGCAAACCTCACAGAAGCCAGAAGAGCAGTTCTGGCAGAAAACCACCCCCCCTCATGTGCCACCTCTTGGAGGAGCTCTGCAATCCCAGAACGGGCCAGGAAGCAACTGCGCAGCCTCAGGGCAGTCAATCAGCCCATGCAGAGCAAACCTGACATCCCTTACAAGTGATGAACTAAGGCATTGCAACTCCAAACACGCTACCTGTCTTTTGAAAAGATTGCTCTAGCCTGAAGGCAGCACGAACGATCTAACATGACACACAGGCTGTGGATCCATTTAATAGAGCATGAAGAGAGACATGAGAACTGCTGCAGATCCTGGTGTGTCCACGGACCAATACAGATCAATTCTGTGCTGTAAAAATTGAAACATTTCTGGTGACGAACTCCTGGGTTGGAAACAGAGACACTCTCCTTCATGACTGTTACTATTCCTTATACCCAAACTGCTCCTTTCTTTTCTTAGTTGGTTTTCCAACTCCATGGTATATTACCACGTACCAGCCAGCCCTTCCCTCACTAATGCTCCTGCAGTGCCACACTCACTTTGCTTTACCCAAACAGGGAGGCTTATTCAGGCTGCAGAACCAGCCAAAGCCCTGACCACGTCCTCCCATTCCTGCCTCTGCAGGCCACCAGCTAAGACGGAGCTGCAGGTCAGAAGCCTGAGAGCAGGCAGGCAGGGCGATGCTTCCGTGAACACGTACAAGCTAAACACTGTACGTACTATGCCCACAAAGCACTCTCCCCGTGCACAAAGCCAGCTATGAAGCGCTGGATATTCTAACCGTGTTTCCCCAAAGAGAAACCAGCTGCACTTGCAAAGCACGGTTTTGTCGGCATATGGTGAATCCACAGTAGAGGCAGAGCTGGACTGCGTGGTACTTCTCCACAGCTCTCATGAGCATGGCTGTGTGACCAGAAAACACCACAGGCCAGCTGCAATCAAGAGGTTATGGCTGAAGCAGATCAACTCCCCCAGGCACAGACGCTCAGAGGTAAGTACCTACTCAACAACAGCTCCAGGCGTGGAAGGCTGTCGGGCCAACTACGTATGTAGCTGTCAGACAATGCACGCGGGCAAGAAGCCAAGCTTAAAAATACTTCCATTACCTAAACACATTCACTGCATATATTTTTGTTTCATAATACAGAGACTCATTGCTGCACTTCTGGCCCATATATATTGTACACACACACAAAAAACTGACTTGCCACACAAAGATACAGAGATTTGCATTAACTGCTCAGTAACTAGTTTACTAGTTCACTATTATTAAAGTGTCAAAATTGAAGCTCCTTTATTTTGTTTGCTTATTCACTTTGTGAAAGTCAACAATTACAAGTGCTGACTCTAATTATCTAGGTATTTCAACAGAACAAGAACAAAGACACTCCACATTTTAATCAGTAAACTGGAAGGTCCAGTGTTTAACCCTCTCGGTGACTGCCCAGGACACGTTATGCTGCGTGCAGTGCTCGTGTGCAGGCACACAGCCCCAGTTGTCCCAGCCTGAATCCAGAGGACAGTGAACCGCAAGTCTCTGAGAACGTGGGTTAATGATGGAAACGCACAGATGCAAGGAAACAAAGACAAGTTATTTACTTCTATGGGAAGTTTATTTCACACAACCAGTTACCAATCCAGACATTTTTATTTCATATTTTATATCCAATTCCTGGACTGTAAACATTGTTTACTTTCTGGAAAAATATCAAATTTCTTCTGTCCAGGGAGAAATACACTACATATGTTTCTGGTAACACATCTTAATTTTGAGGTGATTTCACATTTAGAAGAGTGATTCATTTTCCATCGAAACAGCTAGTACAATAGGCACTTGGCCAGCTTTTCTTATTGGCACTACAGCAACACAGTTTCTTCAACTACCTTTGACATGAAAAAATGCTTATGTTAACTACGTGACTTGGTTGGCAAATATAGAACTGAAGTAACTTTAAAAAGCATAAAAAAGTAAAAACATATACTGTAAGAGTCTCAATTTTCTTTCTAAAAAACCCAGTCTCTAATTATATTACATGTACCTTTTAAAGAAGGGCTTTAACAAGATCAAATAATTTCCTTCCAGCAATGCACCACCACTGCATACCCTCCCTTTCAAAATTTCATAGAATATCTCAAGTTGGAAGGGACCCATAAGGATCTGAGTCCAACACCCTGTTCCTCGCAGGACTAAGTTCCACCTTGCAGATAAGGACTAGTACATCTACCACACAGATAATGATATACATTTAGTGCATGCATGTGAGCGACTGTTCAGAGGGATAACCTGCATGACACCACAAGACCTCTTAGCATGTGGCTGGAAAAAAAAAGCCAGGTGGCCAAGGATGGACAGAGGCAAACAAGCCTTAAACAAACTAGTCTTTCGCTCACCAAGATATGACTTTATAACGACATAAGTTTAAGAGGAACAATTCCATCCAATTGATTCCTCTTTACCCAAGAGCGAGGCGCAGCAAAGAAGTGACACCTTCCATCACAAGCAAGCAGGCAGAGAAGATCCGTCTGGGAGCTCTCCTCCGTCCCAGCCCACAGCTGTGCAGCAGGAAGGCGCCGTGCCTCCGTGGCCACATACTGAACATGCACAGACACTGCAGTCATCGGCTAACCTCGGGCACGCGCGGCCGAACCCAGCCCTCACAGCCACCGGGATCTGGCTTACCAACCCGAGACCACTTGGAGCCGTACTACGGTTGTTATCCCCTTTGTAGGCTTGCTGCTAGGCTTTGAGTGGGATCGCTCTTTTCGCATGGAAAACCTTGAAATCAAACCGGAAAGGTTACAAATCACAGGCAAAGCTTATTCCAGAGCTGCTGAAATCTCTAGTAGGATGAAAGGGACTTCACGCTCAAAGGCCGAAATACTTAAAAGCAGCAATATTCTTTTTCTTTTTAAATGACTAGGACTGGGGGAAGACGTGAGATCTGCTAGGGCTTCATATCATAATGAATTGAAGGAAAGCAGAACTGGAAAAATTAAAATCTCTTTAGACTCCATTTAATTGTACGTTAGACAGCTCTTTTTTGGTGGGTAGCTTCCCTTTATGATTCTTAGTCATTTCAGCAAAACACAAAATAATAAGCTTGTAGAGATGACTACTCCATTCAGAGTTTTCTCTTTCTCAATGCATACAGTAACAAGCATTATACAACAGCCATAATGATAATCACAGAATCATTTAGGTTGGAAAAGACCCTTAACATCGAGTCCAACCGTAAACCTAACACCGCCAAGTCTATCACTAAACCATGTCCCTAAGTGCCACATGTACATGTCTTTTAAATACCTGCAGGGATGGTGATTCAATCACTTCCCTGGGCAGCCCATAATAATTTATTTTATATAGGATTTATTAATTTAACAAAAGCCTTTGAATTTTCCAGCACTAAGAAACAGCCGTTTAGCCTTATTATTGCTCTCCATGTTACAAAAAACCCTAAACCAGAAAAAGCACAAGTGCTATGGACACCGACAGTTAGAAAAGCTCCAAGACGGGGCAGAGGTGCCCAGCTCCGCAGAGGAGCAGCCTCCCCCAGCCCAGCTACTGGAGAGGTCATTAGGCTGTTCCCAGAGCCAGCTTCCCACAGGCCAGACAGTAGTTTCTGGAGTTTCAGTAGCTCCCAAACGCTTCCTGGCCATGGTGTGACATGAGACCCTTTCCAGCCTGCCCAGTTCTCACACCCAGGCGAGAGCCTGCATTTGGCAGAGAAGCCGTGGCAGCCAGAGCAGAACGTGGCCCAGACACCTTCCCACAGTCACTAGAGAGGGCAGAAGCATCGGCAGCATTTCATGCACCGTGCTCCTAACGTTGCCATCGGGATCAGGAAGTGGCATTTGTGCACGGTCGCTAGTAAGTGAAAAACCTCACACTCTTAAGTATAGGTATTACATTATTTAGAAAGGGCTCTGCTTTAGACAGGGTTTAGCTTCTTGGGAAATGAAGAAAAGCCTCTTTTCCCACTTTACAGGACTAATAAAGAAGTAACACAGAAGTAAGCGCTGCAATAAAGTTTCAGAATAAAAGGATTTTCTGGACGCTCAGGTAGGGAAGAGACATGTTTCTACACTTAGAATTCTACACAGTGTTTGATTTTGGGGGCGTTGGGTTGTGGGGGTTTTTGTGGTTTTGGTTTGGTTTGTTTTTTTTTTTTAAAGTCACGTTTAATCTCATTTTCTGAAGCTTAGTGGCAATGCAGAAATAGTCAGTCTGCCCCTGAATGCTACCCAAAAATACGCCCAGCCATTTTCCACTCATTTAAAAAAAAAAACAACAAACCAAACAAACAAAACAAACCCAAAAACACACCACCACACCAAACCTGGTCCAAATCCCAGTGAAGGAAATGGACTGATCTATGATAAAACACACAAGGGGGGGGGGATCAGAAAGTTTGCAACTTTTTGTTGCTATTGTTGTTATTTTGTGCAAAGGGAAGACAAAATAACTGTTCTTCCCCAAAACATCAACTTTTTAAAAAAGTCAGAAAAAGCACAAGGGAAAGCATGCTGGTCAGGGTCCACCAGACCCATCTCCATGGCCTGTTAAGCAGGCAGCAGAGGATCAATTTCCATTCCCTTCATGGATCTCCAAAGGCATGCTCTCCCTTGAAAAACACTCCAAACACAGGTCTGCACTTCTGGGTTTACCACCTTAGCCCTAGCATAGGCTGCTGGCTCATAAGCACTGAGCGGCACTTAGACAGTCAAGGAACAAAGTGGCGACTTCTCCCATTATTACTACATCTAATTGGTGAGGAAGCCAAAACCTAGATCCTAGATGAAGAGACATATGTGAAAATTTGCCGAGGGGTCCACTAGGACTTCCTGCCTCCCCAAACACTCCTCTACAACCAGCTTAGAAGTAGGAAACTATTTCCAAAGGAAACAGAACAGCGTTACTACTAGCAAACATGAAAAAGGGGAAGAGCAGTATTGTTTACACGAGTTAAGCAAGTAATTGCTCACGGAAAAAGAAAACTCACCGTAGGAAGTACAAGAGGAGGAGAAGGGAAGGAATAATGCAAGAAAAGCAAAGCAAGATTGTTACGTCTTTCTACAAAGTCTTTCACAGCTCTGTCACCATGGGAAAGAAATGTGGGCCCAAACACAGAGCTCTTTAAAAAGCATTATTGGATGAGCTCTCCCACAGCACAGCAGCTCCACACTGTGAACAGGAAACTCTGTTCTTCATAGTTGTCCAGCTGGCACAGGCAGGTGGACAGCAAGAACACAACATCTGCACATCTCTGCTCACATGCTCCCGGCCCCCCCACAAACTCTGTCCAAAGCCCATTCCCGCAGTGTATCTGGTCCAGCTCTGCCTTTGCTCCCAGATGAGGCACGATCCTGTACCTCCAGTCAGTATCACAGACAGCCAGGAAAAGAAAGAAAATGTCTTGGCACAGATTTAGTCACTCTTCTCTTGCTGATCACTTACTGGCATCTTTTCAACAAAAAGATCACGTTTAAGCCCTAGAACCTACTTTTCTTTTTGTAAGCTGAGTCAGGTCAAATAACTAAGATTTGAACACCTGCAGGACAGCTTTGGAAGGGTAGGGTGGGTTGCTGCTCTATAGGTTGCGCTACACAAGCGGCGCAAGTGTCTGATTCCATACATTGTGTGAGAGAAATTAACCAGAACTTCAGACTTTAACATGCACCTTTCCCATGTGTTTCTCTTCATCTACTGTTCTTCATGTTAAGGATGTGAGGTGGTTTAACTAAGATTTTTAAAATAAGCAGCTCTGAAAGCTGAAAAAACATTTGAGAAGCAGATAGCTGCACTTCAAGAGTAATAAGAAGGTACAGTGTGATAACTGCTACCAAACCTTATTTGAAGATAATATTGTATCAATAACACTAGCCATTTAATGTATTTCCACAAACATTCCTGCAGCGTTCCTCCCTTTTTAAATTTTGTCTCAATTTCCTGTTCATCAACATGACTGAAGTCAACCACTAGACCTCTGTGCATTTTCAATCTTCACCTTACACCACCTATTCTAACATTCCATTTCATATACTCTGCCTATTATTTGCACCAACATTTGAAAATAAATGCATTTCAGCAGAGTAGTTCAGAAAGAGATTTCACAAGGTAAGTACAAAAGAGCATAGATATGCTATAACAAACACTAGATACACCTCAAGTCACTTAAAATTTAAAATTGAGATAACCAAGTTACTTGCAGAAAACCTTTATTCAATATTTTTAAAGGCTGTCTGCAAAGTAGCAAGTACGCATCTTTCAGGAGGTCATCTCCCAAAACATCCAGAAGACCTTGAAATGATCCATTCCTGCCTCTCCATGGCAGTGGAAATACCCTTCTCCCATTTTGCTGAGGCAAATCTTAAACACACCGCATGTCATAAAAAAAAAACTTTATGTGCACACAACTGCGTAAACAATTTATTAAAAAGTCCCTTTCCATATCCAAAGACCCTACTGGAGCAATCATGGAAAAGTTATCAAACACCATACTAAATACTCCAAAGAGCCTTCCCAGAGAAAAAACTTCGCTTATAAGAATGTAAGCCACATAACTGCACCTCAGCCCATGGGCTAAAAAGACCTACTCATTCCATAGTTCAGTAACTTGCCATTCAAATAAGGTTTCCCACTTGCCTTCCCAGGCCCTGGCAAGACCTATGCCAATCGCACATGCTATAAATTTTATACATAAACGGGCAACAAATATCCTTTGAAGCAACTTGAAATGGAAGAGCAAACATCTCATTCCTCTGAGGAATTTGCCCATGCTGTCAGCTTGAAGTGAGCAGGGTGCTGTGGAGCGTTGCCAGGCGGCTCCAGCAGCTGAACCCAGCTCCTCCGGCAGCAGACAGCTACTGCGCCACCCCGCACATCACTCACCTTGCCAACTCGGGGAGGGAAACACCATCATGATCAGCACAGGAAGGATCATAACTCCATCTACCATTGTAGAGCTGCAGAAAGAGAAGAGACATGTGAGCTGTGTACACTTTCACTGTTGTCTTAAAATGTAACCACCCCAAAATCAGTGTTTAGCAAAGTCTTTCATCATTTCCTTATACAAAACACAGAACAACCAAGGTTTACTGGCCTCCTTTTTACTATGTCTTGTTTCCTAAGTCATTTCCTTCATTTATAAAATTCATAATTTACTGCAATTTCTTAAATCTGATTTCTTTGTCATAGAAACATCACGTGCACTACAGTGCACGTATAGAAGCATGCTACTAGGAAAACATGAACCCTTTCAGTACTAAGCAGGCATGTAAAATAGAAGATACATTTTTTCAACCAGGTATTAAAGAGTTAAATTATTGTGAACTGAAAAGAAGTTCTGTAAAACTGTGTATTATTTGGGCTTTGAGGAGAAACAGAAAATATCTCAGCCAGAAAACTCTGAAGAACTTTCTTTAACCAGCAGAAACCATTGCCAGATGGCAAGAAAAAGAGCAAGATGTATTTAAGGAAGACACCATTCTCAGAAGAGTAATTTCCCAGTTCAAGCCGCTTTTCCAAGGGTTTTCCTTTCAATGGCCCAGCTTTGTGTCCCTACTGTTGAAGGCAGGTAACTACATCTTGGGTGAAAGCTCAGGCTATTTCCTGCTTATCAGCAGAAGCACATGCTCCTTCTAAAACAGTAAATAAAGGAGTGAACTCTCTTGTGTATTTCAAATCTTTTCCAGGACACTTGGTCTTTACAAAAAAAAATAAAAGCTCCACTTCTTACTGTGAAATAAGAATTATTTAACAGGCTTCCAAAAGGAAACCTTCTTGCAGTTTCTTAAACTCTGCATTTAAATGATCACCTTTACCAAGGAATAGAGATTAACTACAATCAATCGTCATTGGGATTTAGCCCAACAAGCAGGGCTGGATAACTTGGAAGGGCTCGTCTGTCCTGTGCTACCTGGTTCCTACAGAGACTCTCTGGCCTAATGACATGCCATAAAATCTCAGTCAAAGCAGTGGCAAATAGTATGTGCAAAACAAAGTTACTCTCCTTGACCAAGGCACTGAGTCATTACCATTCTTCTTACATGTAAGTGTTTGTCTTCATTTTTCAGATTTAATTCTAGTGAAGCAGATGAAACTTGAAAATAAAATTGATATTGCCATTTTTTTTTCAGATATCTTCTGTTGCTGCCTTTTCAAATCGTTAGCAGGTTGCTTAAGTGCTTGGTGACGAAAGCCAAGCCATTTACTTCTATATTTATTTCCTGACATGGATTTGTTTTGCAGAATATGAGAAACATTTCAGTAATTGCTTCATTATCAGTCAAAACAATCAAAGATTTCTGAACTCAAGTATTCAGAGTTTTTGTCCTTACAAAAAGGATCAGGCAGCGCTCACCACTTCACCTCCAGGAGTGAAACTCTCACTTTCAAACATCCATTCACCAAGTAACTTTGCGTTCCTCGTTCTTGATACACATCAATGCATTCTTAATACGTGCCAATATTTAATCTTCAACAATTATGCTGGAAACGCGATGAAATGAAGTTATACATAGCATGACCATTGAGCAATCCAACATAGGAAGTTTAAAGCAGAAGAAAGCTATCCCAGGGAACGATTTGTTGCTTAATGCTCCGGATCAGCTCAAAGGGTTCCATTGCTCCAAAGCAGGGGCAGCTGCAGGACACGAGAGCGACACCGTCCTCCTCAGCCAGCCAGCCACCATGCACGCTTCCTTTGGCTGAAGAGCTTACACCAGCATTTTCCTCGGCATTACACCCGGATAACTCTCTGCAAGTCTAGACAGAGGTGGCTCATGAGACATGCCCTCTTTCTTTCAACACATCAATGGTTCAAAGAGCAGAGGCAGAAAACTTTGATTTTAATGATGCCGGCCCACAGCCGCAGCAGAGCTGGGTGAGCCAGCCACCCTGGAGGCTGCGGGGCGGAGGGGGGAGCCCGGCAGGGACAGGCAGCCGGTCCGCCCAGAGCCCTTCAGACAGCGGGGACACCGACCGCAAGGAGAAAGGGCTTTACAAGAGATGAAAAATGAATTTAACAACACAGAGCAGGTTGAGACATTAAACAGTAGCATGCTGCTGACACGCAGAGTGGTTGCTGGGTTTTCTACAGATCTGTAATTCACCGTTCCATCCTCCCTGCCCAATTAAAAAGTGACAAGGGTTGTTTTCTGCTGGTGGGGAGCCATCACACCACCTCCAACACCACAGGTCAGAGACCCACACACGCCACAGCCTCCCTGCAAGTCCCCCCACCCTTGGCCATGTCAGACCCTCCTCCTGTCAAACCTGGCTGAAGCAGGGAGAGCAGGAGAGGAACCTGCAATGAGTTCAGCTCAGTTCTGCCAGGAAAGGAGGTTGAACACAAGAAACATGGGCTGGCTAGAGTAGAAGAAGGAAGCAGACAGCAGTATGGAAACCAGGAAAACTCCACAAGTTGCACATATTCATTTGTTTTCTTTTCAAACAGTTTATTTCAATTCCCTAAAAAAAAAAAAAAAATTAGTATATATATGCACACAACCCCCTACCCTGTACTTCTCAGAGTGAGGAGGAGGAGGGAAATCCAAACTGCACCCCCTGAAAAGGCAAACAACCTCGCATGGGAGCTGTCCCACAGTGACTACTTCCCATCTCGAGAAGGGGAGTTAACACACTCAAGCTCCTCATCCTCTGATTCCACATGCCCACGTGTCCCCAGCCCATGTCTGCACTTCAGGTCAAAGCCAGCACGTGTTGAGACAGACAGCAGTTCATCAACAAGTATGAGGGTTTTTACCAGTCCTCACCAAAGGGATCAAATAAGGAAAAAAGCCATGAAACCACAGTAACAGTCATTCTTGATCCCTCATCCAAAATACCAGTCAGAGTTCCTCTTCAACAAAGTCCAAGGATGACTTCACTAACGCACCTGAAATTACACCAATTTTTTTCTGTTAAATGCATTTAAGCGCCTAACACAAAGAAGGCTGGCATCCTTCCCCTGCTTCACCGCTGCAGGAGAGGTGCACACACCAAGTGAAGCCACCCGCGGTGACTCAGTGGGCAAGCGTCGGCAGGGACGGGCAGCAGCTGGGTCAGAGACTGCTTGGGCCCGGATCCTGGTCCTGCAGGTCAGGGATGGTTTGCCCAGGGCCTATAGAAAGGCCTGCTGAATGACCTGCATTCAGCCCTGCATTAGCAAGCAACCATTTGTGCAAGCCTCTTTGGTATGGTTACATTTATGAATAGACTTTTCCTATTATTAAATGCAAACAATATCAGACTATTAACAGACTTCATGCGTTTCACAGCACGCATGATCCTCTCAAAGAAAAAAGCCAAATACTAAGAATTTAAACCCTGTTTCTATGGAACTTTGCTCCCGTAGACGTTCATTTTCCCAAAAGCCTCAAAGAATATTTTGTCTGCTTTCTCTAAGAAGTGCTGTGCATACTTACAACAGCCTATAAAAAAACCCACCCTGCGTGTACTTATTGTCAATTAAAATCCTGTGCTGTGTATGTGTAGACTCGGTACAGCTCTAGGGCTTTTGGCAAGCTACCTGCAGAGCCCTCAGCACAGCACGGCATGGCACAGCCCAGTTACACCACCTCAAACTGGGTCTGCTGGGGTTGGGAGACTGTAGGAGGGAAGGAGTTGGGAGGGAGCCTCTGATCTTTGCAAAATACTGGTTTTTCCTTAAAAATGATTTGAGAGCAAGTGTATGCACTCCAAAAATTAAAAATTACAAATAAAACTCTTCACTATATTAAAACCATGTCAAGTCCTTAATCCCTGCTCTAAGAGAAGAGAATATTTCAGGTGGGATCAGGCAAGGTCTGCTCTCAGCCCACTCCATTACCCAGCACCAGCCAACTGAAACCACTGAAATCCTGCCAGAGCCTTGGAAGAGGTGTCACAAACCCTTGCTGGTTGCCGTTTTGCTCAGGGTATGCTGTCTCTGTTGCACGCCTGTTAAATCAGCAGTTAAAAATAAGCCTGGCGAGCACACCGCTTGCAAGGCAGCTGTGGGACGTGTGGCCAGGAAGCCCCTCTCCAGGGGTCCCACCAGGCACCAGCCCCACTCAGAGCCACCGCAGGTGCTAGGGTGGGGATGGAGCCATGCCGTCCTGCAGCTCCAAAATGGTGCTCTGGTTTTTTAGTCACCAGCATTCCCACAGTACTCTTTTAAGTGAAGGCACAAAACCCACACACAACACTGCAGCCAGGCTTTTGCTTTAGTTCACTTTCAGGTTATCCCAGTTGCAAACTGCAGACACAGCAGGGGACGAGTTTAAAAGTCCTGTTTCCATTGCTTAAAAAAAATTTACTTTTTAAAGCAATTAATAATACACTTACGTAAGAACAAAAATCTGGTTCTAGTGACAGCAGCAAGCACATCTTCCACTTACTTTTTAAGAAAGAAAGAAAACGTAAGTTTTAATGTAAAGAACAAAACATTCTTTAATAAAACTCCATAGCAAGTTGCTATGGATCTAGAGATACACAAGATATCCTTTTACTACCTGGTGTTTGAATTCACAAGAACTTTTTCCAAAGGGGAGGATTGCAATTTAATCCAGATAAAAGAGGAACTAGAAAGCAACCAGCAAATAATGCACAAAATTTATTGTCTTTTCTAGACATGTCAATCTTTACTATTACTTGACTGCAATTCTTCAAGGTGTCCTACAGGAGAGCTATGACAGCTGCAGTAGCCACTAGAGGGCATTCAAAACTGAGAGCTGGGTTTTAAGCACTCCATGCCATGCTTCATACACACCCATGCTGGGCACTGCATAGCAGAGCTGGAGACACCATACAGTGCCTTTGAACTTCATTCATGCACACTGAAAAGAAGATCATTTGGTTTTAACTTTTTCCTACAAAAGCATGTAATTAGAAAACCTGAGACTTGCTGTAGGTCACAATGGAAAAGTCTCTTTTAAAGTGGCAGCTAACAGATTTGTAAACGAATCTGTTGTGAAGTACAGATGACAAAGTGAACCTAGCTCCAGAGCAGGCCACTACCTAGTCTGAAGCGAGCTTTGGATTCCAAAGAAGGAATCAATTAAACTGTTTTCAGAAGCCTAAATGAACAATAATAAGCATATCATATGGCAGATACAATACTTGGTTAGGACACACAACTTAACATACAGATGCACAACTAATTGTTTTAGAGAAAATAATTGATAGAATTCTTATAGTTTGTATTCATAAAATCTCAACACTTTATAGAATCTACCCTGAAAACCCCAATACCTTTTCCGCTTCAACAGCAAATAAATTGCTTTCTCTTTTCCTAATAAGAACACTACTTGTCTCCTGTCAAATCATTCCTCTATGGCCTGACAGCACCATGGGGATGAGGGAGAGCTCGGATCCATAGCTGGGACTGTTGAGATCACTGCTGCAACAAGCCGGAGGGGAGAGAACGAGGAGTTAAGACAACATGAAACACCACACCAGCACCAGCACAGGCTGTTGGGAAACTGCATTTAGTCTCCAATGCCACCACCCTCATAGAGAGCAAAGACTGCGCCAGACAAAGAGCAAGTCCAATTAGTGAAGAAATTTAAGATTACATTTCATCTCAATACGACACAGACATGGGAACACGAACCATTAGAGGAGTTCAGACTTTTCTGATGAGATCAGAAGCACCCACACTATCACTGACAGTCCTGGTGGCAATCCGCCAAGAGCCCAAGGGCTGTACATATTTTGCATGTACCTCATCAGATTTGTATCAAAAGAAAACATCCATAATACTGGATTGTAATTCTACCATCCACAATAGCCACACACAAGCTAAATTCATCAACAGCTGTGCCTTTAGAAGGAAAGATGTGCATTTAAAAGCAGTAATTCACAGCTTGCTTTTTTTTTTTTTTTTAATTGAAACTCACACAAACTAACTAACAACCTCAGAACAGCACACACAAAAGCATTCCCAATGTCAGAGAATGGCAACCTTGGGTATTCCTTTCTCAAAGTCTAAACTTTGTTGCCAGAATTCAGCAAGATGGAAGCCAGCCACAAACTCCATTTGGCATCCACCTGCAATGCACACAGCACACATCAATACACTTCTGCTCAAGAAAATTTGCAAGAGATCGCCACCTCGAAAGGCTGAATGTCTCAGATTCAAATGACTGCAAAAACAGAGACAGTGAAGTGTGCAAGATACTGGTTCTCCTGTACTATTCATATACAAAGCAAAATCACAACACTGCTGAACAAGAATAAAACCACCAGGAGGAAACCAACCTATACAATGTAAAATGTCATGAAAGTATTCCTTATGAGGTTAATAACTCTGAATATTCTCATGAAGAACTGCTCCCTAGGTTTTTAAAAGAAAAGGAAGAGGCAACAAAGCACAAGTGTCACTTATGGAAATAAAATCCTGTTCAGTCTCCCTCCTGGCATATGCAAGTAAGAATCCATTTATTGCCTATGCTGTCACCCAAAGGCTCCAGCTGACACACCAACTGCAGAAATGGCATAGCATGGGACAACAAATAAGCAACATTCAAAATATCAGGGTCAGGGGACAGACACATGACAACACGGGGGAACACAACCACTTATCCAAGAGAAAAGGAAAAAAATCTTACCTAGGCAAAGAAGTGAACCAGAAGCAGCACCAGCCCCTTCCTGAGTGGGATGGGGAAGGCACGAGTCACACACATACAGCCTTTCCTTTAATGGAGGGGAAGGCAGGGCTCTCTTGTGCCCAGAGCAGGGGTAATCCCCAGAGAACAAACAGAGCAGCTGAAGGCCCAGGATGCACAAGGGGCACAGAAGGGACCAAAAATAATGCTTCCCCATGCAGGTCAGCTGGTGAGCAGGCGGACTCATGGCCTTGTATATGGGCAGCAGAACTTCTCTGTGTGGTTGAAGGAGACAGAAGACAGAAGTGGCTTGTTGTTAGAAAGCCCAGGTGTAAAAGTTTGGGTTGTGTGTAAGTATTGCATCAATACGGGCATCTTAGGCAACCCGACAGTGGATGGCTTGCTCAAATGATGAGTTAAGCACAGACATTTTTAAACTGATCCGAAAACCCCAATACATATTGCAACTTCCTGCTGCCTTTAAAGCTACATGCGTTTCTTTCCATATCATTTATTGCCTCGCAGTGTAAATAAATTCACCAGGAGGCAGCTATCAATAATTAACAGTGCACCATGGAACAGCTTTCCTCTGCAGAGCCTGCACACAGCAACATCCCTTAAAATGCTCATTCATTAAGTTACTGCGTATGGTTCACTGATCACGTCATCGCTGTGAGCACCTTTAAAGTTAGGTATGCAATTCCACATGTGCAAAGAACCAACTACACATAGTTTCATTTATATGGGCAAATTAACAGATATGAATTTGCAAGCAGTTTCATGAGACAGTCAAGTGAATAGTCAAGCATGCACTAACTTCATATTGCTATGTATGTGCCTGAGGCATCAAGTAGGTATCAGTTCAAGACACTGTTAGATATACATGAATTATTGTGGCTTCTCACATATTTCACATATAAACAAAGATGCTATTTTATTATACTACATACATTTTATTGCCACACAGGTATTATTACATAGCACACAGACAGTTCCTACCAGGGAGGAACACTGCATTCTGTAATTGCCATGAGAAAGGCTCCAGTGCACAGCTGCAACAAAGTTTCTTGGACATTGTCCCTATTAGAAACAATTCAGAGTTGTAGACAACCTTGGGTACCACTCACTTTGCCAAGGCCATTCCAAGAACCCAAAGTGGAGTCAATTTCCATTAACATCTGTTGACTTAATTTGTGCTGGGGCCTTGGGCATAAGAGGCAAGCAAAATACCCTTTCAAATCCTGCTACAAGACACAGTACTTTTTCCCCTAGAATTGTTCTCTCTCAGAATCCAGTATCTGCTGTCAGATCTCAGCACAGAACTTCCAATGAAGATATAAACTCCCTGTAATCTAAACAGAAAACCTGGATTTATCCACCAGCTGTGAATAAAACCCAAACACAAATATTTTCAACTGACAAGTTACCAGAAATTGCCTGTAAAAGCTGTTTCTGCATTCTTTCGGAAAAAGAAAATAACCACACAAACCCAAAATGCACACAGAAAACAGCTAGTTACTTTTAACTTGCTCAAAGTCTACCTCTTTGAGACTTGGCCTGCTTTCATCCAGCTAGCAATACTTTATTTACTGAAGATTTTATCTGTGCAGTGTGTGACGAAGGAGTTCAGGGAGGATCACACTTTCACAGCTTGCAGGCATTTCAAAACTGCCTATCAAACACTGTTTATATCACATCCTGGGTACATCTGTCTTGACAGGTGAGGAAAACAAGAAGAATGGGCAGAAACACTGAGCTTATTTCATATCTGCACAGAAAGGGCACATAGTCTGACACAGGATCAGAGTCAAGTTTTATTAGGGTACGGTTTCACAACCAGTTTGGACCAATCCAAGACACAGCAGTGCCAAAACTGGCTGTCCAACCATGTCCTCAGCTCACTGCCATCACTCTAAGCAGGCTCTCACCCCTCCTCTTGGCTGCGGTGATCGCAAGGCCATGGGGTAAGCCGGATTAGGCCACTGATCAGACCACACACTTTTTAGTCTTCACTGTGACTAAAAGTGCGAGGCTCAGCCCAGCGATGCAGTGTTGCCAGTGCTAGCATGGGACAGGTGGTGGGAAGACAGATGATCTCGGAGACAGGAATCCCTTCAATGGCAGAAAAACCTTAGGTTGATTTAAAAAAAACAAACAGCAACAACTACAACAAAATCACAGTGAAAACACACCTTCAATCCCTACAAGAGAATTAGCAAGACAGACAGCAGGGTCTTAACAATTGCCCTCTCTAGCTCTCCAAATAAAATATACTTTTTAAAGCAAAATCCTAACAATCTGCCAAGCAAAGAAATATTCTCATCAGAGCATTCCTCTAGGGTTTTTTGTTTTGTTTTTAGTCTAAAACAAAGCTCCCATTTTTATTACTTTCACTTGCCTTTCATCAAGCAATTGCCAGCTCCCCCTCCTGATACAGGCTTGGTTCAGCAAAGAGCCCTCCTGGCAGGCTGGTCCTTGCCACTTAAGAGAAACTGCTGGTATGTCCCCAGATAGTATTTTGCTCTTGAAAACCTAAACAGCCCAGTCAACCTCCGGAAAGTTTCAGAAGGCGGCCTGCAAGACAGGATGACAGAAGATCTCTCTGCACTGCAATTTTACCAGATGGTCAAATACGTTATATCATCACATTGGACTGAAACCAGGTATCAAAACCGCTGCACCTATGTCAAGCCCTACAGAAGTTCAAGGTTGTGTCACAGTTTGTGTACACTACCGAGATACCGAATATCCCCACATGGCCCTGTCCTGCAGTTTGTTTTAACTCTTCCAGAGAACTGCATTACAATCTTAACAAAAAACTCAGATGGTTGAAGTTAGGGTCTAAATGAGATCAGTGACTATTAATCCAAGATCAGGATTTTGAAAGGCTTTTTATTAAATAGTTAAGTATTACATAGACTGCCTGTTAAAAATTTCTTGCAGAACACTTCAGCCAACACAAAACAAACATTTCTGAAAACAAATCTTTAGCTTCAGTCTCACCAACAATTTTTCCTCAAAAAAGTTTAATTTTTTTCTGGTTTTCCCCTCTTTATTTACACAAATTTTAAATACTCATTTCTTTGCCTTGGGTGGATTTTGTGGTTTGTTTTTTTGTTTTTTTTTTTTTTTCTTTTAGCAGAAAAGCTAGGGTCTGATTATATGATGTGAACAGCATTTAAAGTCCATCTCTCCATTCTGGAAAGCCCTGCTGAAAGATAAAAATGTAGTCTAGTTCCTACAAATTTATTAATCAAGCAGTGTCTCACTACAGTCTAATTCTGTGTTTTCACACATGCAGGGACCTTAAGAGTTGCAAATGCTTTTTATTTTCAGCCTCTGATGTTATCAGGCCGGATTATTCGGAGCCAAACTCAGTAAATGAATTGAAGGAACTGCTGGAAGCTCCCTCACTGCCGCAGGACTCTCTGGGTGACCCCTTATCTGTGTCGGTATTTCACCACCAGTGACCCTCATTTGCACATCAATAATCCCAGCGGGATTTTGCCTGCCTGGGTAAATCTGAACCTCTACAATTATTTTCACAGTGTCATTACCACAGGAATACTCTGCTTGCGTCCCTTAGCCCAAGCATCCTAACCAGAATGCAACTTGTGGTATTTTGATAAAAATTAGCCAAAAAAATTTTTTTAATCCACTTCGTTGCATTGGCAGAATAATACAACTGCAGCATGACACAGCAAACGCACAGCCATTCGTTAAAATAAAGCCACCAAACCTGTAAAATAGAGGAGGACAGGAGAGCGCAATGTGCAGAGGAGCAGCACGCCGCACCGCTGTGGCACAGGGTGCAGGAGCAGCCCCACCACGCGTGTCCCTGCTCCACGGCGAGGAGCGCGGAGGGCAGGAGGGACTCTGGAGAGCCGGCCTTCGCACCCCTGGCGCATTGCTCATGGATTACGCTGGGATTACAGCGGTGGTCTTCAGGAGTGAGGGGTTGCTACGAATAAGAAGTGTTAAGGGACACAAAAAAGTCAGGTATTCATTTTGCCACTTAAAGCTTAACCTCCCAAACGTCAGTGAGCCAAAGGAAGCCAAATACAAATTAATGAAATATTTTTAGAACAATCAGACTGAGAACAGAAGTTCCTAACACTCCATAGGCACGTGTCGCTGAACAGCCTTTCATCTCATCAGATTCTTCCATTAACTATTACTTTGGAGACCAAAAAGCTGAATACAATTAGCAATCCAGAAAAGAAGGAAACACCCTGCTGCACGAGAAAGTAGAATTCTTCAGCGACTATATTATACCACCACAGAATTTTAACATTATTTTTCCACAGTTTGGTCTTGCCTGTTTGGACAGGCCAGAGTCATATTATTCTGTTCTTAAATACAAAGTACAGACAAAACCAAGTTATATGGACCTGTTGGAGCAAGTCCAGAGGAGGGTCACAAAGATGATCAGAGGGCTGGAGCACCTTTCCTATGAAGACAGGCTGACAGAGTTGGGGTTGTTCAGCCTGGAGAAGAGAAGGCTCCAGGGAGACCCTATAGCAGCCTGCCAGTACCTAAAGGGGGCCTACAGGAAAGATGGAAAGAGACTTTTTACCATGGCCTGAAGTGACAGGACAAGGGGTAATGGCTTTGAACTGAAAGAGGGTAAGTTTAGATTGGGTGTAAGAAAGAAATTCTTGACTGTAAGGGTGGTGAGGCACTGGAACAGGTTGCCCAGAGAGGTTGTGGATGCCCCCTCCCTGGAAGTGTTCAAGGCCAGGTTGGATGGGGCTTTGAGCAACCTGGTCTAGTGGAAGATGTCCCTGGCAGAGAGGCTTGATCTAGGTGATCTTTAAGGTCCCTTCCAACCCAAACCATTCTATGATTCTATACTACAGGCATGGTGGTCCATGCTTCTTCCTTTCTTCTTCCACTGGCATTACGCAAATTGGACACTACCACACAGAAGCATACAGAACCTCATTAAATCTAGAAACATAACATCGGAAGGTGAGTCATCAGTACAAGATGAGTATAACTCAAAGCTGAGTTTAAAGAGCTAGTAAGGCAAAGAACAGTTGGGGGGTTTCTCCATCCCAGAACTCTCCAATTATA